GTAAAAACAAAGTACGTCCAAAGTACAGTTACTATGGCAACTTCAGCTCCCGTGACGTGAAGTTTCTGGGCATGCTCAGTGTGAAACGGCGCCAAATCGCGGAACGGCCGTGGCCTTATTTAGCATGTGGCTTTTCCTTTAGCGTGTAATCTCATTTGTTTTGCAGTGTTTTAAGTGCTATAAACTTGTGTCTTTTTTCCTGATGCCAAATACTCTTTATTTTTACACAGATTTGTTTTCGTTTTGTATTTAAACATCTCATTGGAAGGACCTTCGCTGGGGGCCTGAATGTCTCTGCTCAAATAAGTACATGTTCATATTCATAGTAAGTTAAAGTAGCTCATTGGGTTTTCCTGTGTACCGCAGTTACAGTGTAAATAAATTTGAACACGTTTCTGAGTGAGATTTCCTGTTTTGTGAATTAAAACATGAGGGAGCTGGTTTCAGGAGTAGGGTGACCACATTTTCTAAATAAAAAAACTGGGACAGCCCTGGTTTGGGGTGGTTGGTAATAATAAAATTGTGAAAAGAGTGCGTAATTTAGGATAATGATTCTGCACTAAGGTGAGTCAGAACAGTCACATGTTCTTAGTGTTTTTGTCATTTTAAAAGCAGCTTTTCTGTATTTTATTTAATCAAATGACTAGGGCCAGTGTTGGTGTTTACGACCCAGCTCGTTGGGGTGAGGGTAGTAACAAAAATAAAACCAAGATGTGAAATGGAATAAATAAAATAATGTTTAATTAACACGACAGTAAAAGGTAAATTAACAAAAGACTAAAAATATACAGAAAACAACCTAAACTAAGAAACAGAACAACAGAATAAACTGTTGTTGTGCCACAAAAGGGCTCACGCAGGCTTACAAAAAACGAGGGGTAAATTAAGGGACACACACGAAACCAAAACACAAATTCCCCAAATTAAACCACATAAGCCCCCAAACAGAATCAAGTGACCAAATCAAAAAAGGCACAAAACAGAACTAAACTAAACTACACACACAATATAAAATGGCAGACTGGCCACCAAGGTCAGCAGCCCCGATCAGGTGCTGGTAATCTCCTTAAATAGGGGGCGGTGGCTGCAGGTGAGGTGGGCGTAGACTTGCCCCACCAATCACAAACGAGGGCTCCCACAGCAGGAATCCAGGTGTGTCAGCAGAATAATTTAGACCACAAAGAACAAATGACAATCTAAGGCCTGGGGCCGTTAGTTAACAGTTGGGAAGGTGACTTTTAAAATGTATTCCCCTACAGATTACATATTACATACCACAAAATGTAGTTTGTAACGTAATCCATTAAATTGCTTAAGATGAGTAATGTAATCTGAATACTTTGCTTCTCTACAGCAAATCAAGTAATCCAAAGACGAGGAAATCTTCACATGAGATGTTTTGTCTGCTAAAGGAAAATAAAAAGCCCAGACTTTACTCAACCAAATAAAAAAATATTATTGATAGAAGAGGAGACACAGTCCATGCAGCATGGTTTAGTCCTGTTAAATCCTGTTTTAGACCTGGTTTAGACCTGGTTTGGACCTGGTTTAGTGTCTGGCGATGAGTGGAATTATCGAAAAAAAAAAAAAAAAAAGGGGATATAGCCCAAATGTGAAAACAGGAAAATCCCTCTGTGTAATCCATTTATTTCAACAAAGTAACTGTAATCCAATTACCACTCACTGAAACAGTAACTGTAACTGAATACAGTTACTCATCATTTGTACTCTGATTATGTAACTCCGGTACATGTAATCTGTTACTCCCCAACACTGACTAGGGCTGGGTGTCATTAAGAAGCTGCCGATACGATATATACCTCAATACATAGTCCATGATACGATACATATCTCGATACAGTGCACTTTCGATTTGATACAATATATACGTTTAAATAAAAAATGTCTATCATGGCTGTGACACTCAAAGTCTTTGTGAAACCACTTCCTGTGCAAAGTTCATATGAAACACAAACATTTTAATCAAAACAGTGAAAGTGTCAAATGTGTTGCATAAACGAGTTTCCTTCCTCTAAACAAACAACAAAACTGTAGCTGTAACACAGTAATTTAGTAAATTATACCAAAAATGCTCTTGGCGATATACTGATACAGCAGCACCCAGTATCGATACTTTATCATCACATGCAGTATGATATATATGTACGATACAGTATATATTGATATTTCAATATTTTTGCACAACCCTACAAATGATGACTCGTGTCTCTGTTTACTGTTGGCAGGGTCAAGTTGGTCAAAAATAGAGACACCTGGAACATTTCTTGTATAAAACTGGGACAAATCAGTGGTTTTGGATGAATCTGCTGGGTCAGGGGCTCAAAACTGGGACTGTCCCGGGTCAGTAAGGACGTCTGGTCACACTACTCAGATAAAAGAATTCAACTTTTTTGGTCTCAGTGAGGAGTTTAGATCCTCTCTCACCCATTTCCTGCAGAATCAAGGAGAAGGAAGCAAGGGAAAAGAAATAAGATGCGGCCCTAGTATGAGCGAGCCCTTAGAGACTCCCACACTGATCCCACGCTGATCCCACGCTGATCCCACACTGATCCCACACTGATCACACACTGATCACACACTGATCACACACTGATCACACGCTGATCCCACGCTGATCCCACGCTGATCCCCCACGCTGATCCCACGATCCCACACTGATCCCACACTGATCACACACTGATCACACACTGATCCCACGCTGATCACACTGATCCCACACTGATCCCACACTGATCCCACACTGATCCCACTGATCCCACACTGATCCCACACTGATCCCACACTGATCCCACGCTGATCCCACGCTGATCCCACACTGATCCCACACTGATCACACGCTGATCACACACTGATCCCACGCTGATCCCACGCTGATCCCACGCTGATCCCACGCTGATCCCACGCTGATCCCACACTGATCACACACTGATCACACACTGATCCCACACTGATCACACACTGATCACACACTGATCACACACTGATCCCACACTGATCACACACTGATCCCACACTGATCCCACACTGATCCCACACTGATCCCACACTGATCCCACACTGATCACACACTGATCCCACACACATCACACACTGATCACACACTGATCACACACTGATCACACACTGATCCCACACTGATCCCACACTGATCCCACACTGATCCCACACTGATCCCACACTGATCACACTGATCCACACTGATCACACACTGATCACACACTGATCACACACTGATCACTGATCACACACTGTTGAGTTAGTCTAGCTGGCACCCTAAAATAAAACTCTCTACTTCCAGCAAATTCACACATTTTTCAACTTTTCTTCACAAATTGCTTCTTGACTGGAGTAAACAGACAACAACAACAACAACAGACAAGATAACAAAAAGTGTTATTTAAACTATTTGAAAGTGAAGTGTTGGTTGGAGTTGGGGTTATTTGCCAGAGTTGATGTGGCTGAAGTTAATTCAACTTCCCTTAGTGTTAATTTGGCTCCTCCCACCCACCACTTTAAACTCCTGTGAGATAAGACCAGTTTGAACCAGTTTTGTACATAATTTCATCTTAAATTAATTAAAACAAAGTGTAAAAATAAAACACCTCTGTGTGTTGTTTAGCCGAAGCAGGATAACTCTACAAAGTGTTATCTGTTTACTCTCAAAATGTTAATGGGCCCGGTCAAGCAGAAGTAAACAGCAAGGCCAAAAATTCAAGTTAATGCATCTGATATAAAAATGTATTGAACAGATACATATGTACTCTAGTTTATGAAACTGTTGACCTTTTTTCTGTACCATTTTTGGTTCTAAAGTTCCATATGTTTTAAACAGACCATGTCACAGGTACAATTCCTACACTTTGAACAAAAATTAGTTCCCAAATTTCAAAGACCTGCAAATCCTCTTCAGGTTAACTTTCAAACTTCATCTTTGACTAATCTACATCTCTAGGTAGTAGACGTATGAAAATTAAAACTATTAAGTGTTAGTATCTGGTAAAACCTGTGTTTTACAAGTCTAAAAGAATTGTAATTTTCCCTCCGTTACCATGACCTTTCTTAATAAAAAATCTCATGAGTCAAAAAGTAAGAGGTTTTTCAACCTAATCTTGTACCATATGGTAGAAAACTATATGAAGCAAATATTCAAACCAGTTTGTTAAGGATATGGAAGTGAGAACCAAGAGTTATCACTGTTTGGATTTATTGACCAAAAAGTGCTGCATATTTCATTCTCTCTGTTACCGACATGAGTTTTTAAATTTTTTGTCAACAACTTGAAAGAATATCACAGGTTTAACTTGACCCTGTTGGAGTGTAACTCTTTCCTACATTCTGATACTTTACTTATTTCAATAGTTCCTCTAGTTTCTCAATAAGAGACATTTGAATGTCAAAAATCTGCCCCTGTTTCCCTCCGTTACCACTTGACCGGACCCTGATATAACTCTTGATTTCGGGGTTAAACTGGAATTTTGGTCCAGTGTTACTTAATGAACATTTCCAAAAATGTCAAATTAACTCTAGAACAGATATGACTCATATCAACCCTGAGAAAATATTAAAAGTGATTCTGTGAGAGTCAATTTTAACACTCCACTTTTTACTGTGCACACTATTTCAAATCCAAATAAACACACAAAAACATATGTGATGTATCAAAAAATGTATTAGGCCAACGTATGTGAGAATCATTCAGAGATGATGTAACTGTCCCGGGCGGCAGCAGAGGCGTACTGCTGTAGTGTCCTTGAGCGAGACACTTTTTCACGTGTGTGCATTGGTGACTGCAGGAGGAATTAGAGAGCACAGGTGGGAGGTGTTCATTCATGTTCACGTTTACATAGTTTAACTTCTTGAAATATTTGTCATTACGTCTTTCCCGCCTACTCTCTGATTCTTCTTCTCTCCCTCCCTCCTTTTCTGTCTTTTTCTGTCTCTTTCTCTGTCCCTCGTCTCTCCTCTTAAGGCAAGTTAAGTTTGTCAGTGTGTTTCAGTGTACTTTGTCCTGTGCTTTACTCTGTACTCCTCTCTCTCTCTCTCTGTCTCTTCACCCAACTCCTCCTCTTAAGGCGGAGTTATTCTGTACTTTTCACTGTCCTTTGCCCTGCTCTCTGCTCCAGTGTGTCCTTGTACCATGAATGAACCATGGCTCACTTTGAGTTTCAGCGCTTGGACTTCTTCTTGACCATCGGGGGGCTCGTGGCTCTGATCCTGGACATTATCCTGGACGTGTACACGGCGCTCGACTTTTACAATGACTGGGACTACATACGTCTGGGCGCGTTTGTGTTTTTCCTCATAGCTTCGTCTCTCCTGGTGCAGACCTACAGCTGGCTCTGGTACAAGTACGACGGCTTCGAGATGATCACAAACGTGGAGAAGATCCCCAGTTTTAAGTCGCTCAAGGTGCTTCACATTCTGCAGCTCGGGACGTACCTCAGGTGAGACTAAACTGACAGTGAAGTGAGCCAAGATAGAAGATAGAAGAGTGTGTATGCCAGTGATGTGTAACCATGAACACAACACAAATACAAAATAGAAGTCATTTATAATAACAAAACTGAAACCAACTTTTAGCAGTGGATTAGTCAGTAAATGAAATACATGCTGCTGTCTTTATTACAAAATGACATCTGTTTGAGAGAAGAACTCAGTATAAATGTGCAGGGTTTGTGCGTTAAACAAGTGTGAATGAATGAAGTGTGTTTTCAGTTTGTTTTGTCTCGTCAGAACAAGTCAGAACAGATCATAATCCTGCACGTTACAGCTAAACTAATGTCACAGACAGATCCAGTGTGCACTTGTGGGTGTGTCTGCAGTTGAAATGTGAAACTAAAGATAAACTCAACTGAACAAAGCCGAAGTGAACGTGCAGGTGCAAACTCAAGTCAATTTGCCTGAAACTGTTTCTACGGAAATGTTGTAAACAAATGTGTTCCATTACAGCTTTATAAGGAGCCAAAACTGAAAGTAACACTCTTTCTATTGTGTAATACTTCTGGAATGATGACTGTAAATGTGATCCCAGTTGGCCTGTGACATTTGACCCCTTAGATATTCATGTAATTACACTTTCTCCTCCTTCGTTGCCCAGCAGCAGGTTTCCATTCAAATGTTTTTAAATCTGTAATGTCATGTGTCTGTCCGTCTTTGCACTGGTCAGTCACGCAGTCAGAATTTGAGTCCTGGTTCAGGCCACGTTTTTATATAAAGCACGGGTGGGACAAGGTTCGGGACAAGGTTCAGTCCTGGTTCAGTCCTGGTTCAGTCCTGGTTCAGTCCTGGTTCAGTCCTGGTTCAGTCCTGGTTCAGTCCTGGGTCAGTCCTGGTTCAGTCCTGGTTCGGTCTGTATGTAGCACAAAAGTCCGGCATCTCGATCAGTGTTTCTTCTGCTCAGTAAATAATGCTTGTGCATTGATGACGTATTTTTAACTGTTAAGTTGCATCTATGAAAATTCACGCTGTTCTTAATATGAATACAAATTCATTTTGTGATTGTAATTCTTGATGTCGTAACTTTTCAATTCATATTCTGATGGACAAAATACACACAACACATTTTATATACGACTGGATTCAATCGAGAGTTCACAAATATTTTATGTATGATCAACTACAAACAAATATGCACGGATTTCTCAAAAATGCAGATTTCTATCCTATGCACATGAATATTTCTGAAAGCAAACAATCTTTTCACTGACATTTCTGAGGATCTCTAGATTTCTAACCCTCTGCAGCAGTTAGGTATTCAAACATGCGCTTTTCCATCCTCAAAAAGCTGTTTAATCATATATAGGGGTGTAAGAAAATATCGATTCAGTGATATATTGCAATATTTCATTGCGTGATTCTTATATTGATTCAAAGTGTGTCTGAATCAATTTTTGAAAGTCAGGTTTTTCATGAAAAATTATTAAGTTAAATTTACTGTTCTCATGATTTAAAAACTAAACTGTATTAGACAATTTTGTTCTTTTGAATACTACTTGATCAAAATATTATATATAATTATTGATAAGTCATAATATATCGTCCTTGTTTTAGTTTCAGGATATATCGAGATATATTGAATCGTGACAGGCACATCATGATCCGCATCGTATCACCAGATTCATGGCAATGCACACCCCTAATCATATTAATGATCCTCAAATCCAGCGGCTGTTAGGTTTGTTTTGCACACCCTATATGTGTGTGTGTCTGTGCTCCTAGTGAAGTTCAGGTTTCTGGTTTGCTCAACTTGCTTAAGGGTCAAAATTGGATGAAACGGCTGTTATCTGTTTTTTTCAATTACTCATTTAAACACAATCGAAAACTGAAAAAAAAAAATCATTTCATGTTGGTTTTGGAGACAAATGAGGAAAATTTTTGTTTTCATTTTCTTATTTTGGTTTTATTTTGAAAAACGGATAAACGAATGATACACAGATTCCTTTTCTTTATCCTGTGAGTCCTATATTACATAAGAGTGACTCCTGTGAGCTTTAAGCCATGTTATAATATTGTTACCTCCTCAAAAACAGTCCTGGAATTGCTGTTGACACGTTTGAGCTGAGTTTTTTTATTAGTCTACGTCTGCATAACTCAAAATGCTCTGTTCCACCTCTGTGCTACGTTTTACCTTTAGTCCAGCAGAGGTGGGAAATTGCAGAGCTGAAATTATCCAAGTGAACCTGTAAAAGTTTAAAAACACAGTCCAGCTCCTCCTGTATTACTACATGACATCACAAGATGGAGCAGTGTGTTTTTTGCTTAAGAGAAGAACTAAATGTGCAGGGTTTGTGTGTTCAACATATGTGAATGAAGACAAACACCTCCAGGTCTGTTTGTGACGAGGAAACATAATAACACAGTAGATCTGAAAACAGCTAAATATGGACATTTTAACAGTTAATACTTGCGAGTTTGAGAAGCTGTAGTCCCAAAAAACGTCAACACCAAGAATTTTCAACCAAGCAAAATGAATGTAGAGAAATTGTAAAGTGATCCCAGAATGTATGTGTTATATATTTATGTCAAGTACCTGGTTTAGAAAGAGTTTAGACCTGGTTTAGACTTGGTTTAGACTTGGTTTAGACTTGGTTTAGACCTGGTCTAGTCCTGGTTTAAACCTGAGTTACACGTGGTATGGATAAGCTTTTAGTCCTGGTTTAGTCCAGGGTTTAGACCTTCTTTAGCCCTAGGAGTGAAAGAGGAAGTTGAGAGCAGAGTTTGACTCCTGACCGATCACACTGAGGACGTGAGACTGCAGTGACCCAGTGACTCAGGGAATCAGGTTTAACACACACAAAAAGAGGAAATGTCTGCTTATTATGGTTCATATTTATATTAAATATTTCTACAAAACCTACACTGAAGTGTCCAGGGCCTGTGTCTGTCCTGTTCTGGACTGTGGCGCTGGAGTCTGGGGTTACAGTAAACAGAGCTCTGAGGTACTTTTTAGACATGCATAAAAAGGCACCTAAACTTGCTCTGTGTGGAGATCTGGGCTGGAACCATGTGAAGTGAGACACATTTGTGATATGGTGCGGTTATGGAACAGGTTGGTTAATTTGCCAGACACAAGATGAACCAAGCATGTATTTAACTGGAGTCTGTTACATAAATCGTTCTGGAGTAGAGAGATTAAGAACATTTTTGAGATTGTAGATGTCCGGTTTATTTACAGAAAGGTTCATCTGTAATGTCAGACAAACGAGGAACATTTACTTTGATAAGCAGAAACAAAAGTGGCACAATTAAATTTGATGTACACCTAAATTGAGAACATATATCTTAATTGAAGACTGTTTTGGGCCTGAGCCATATGTCACCATGAACGTAAGCAGAGGTCAGAGGTCAGTATGTGCCCAGCTGAGGTGTGGGACTCTGCCTCTGGCCTTTGAGACGGGACGATTCCACTCAGTCCCAGAGGAGGAGCACATGTGTCTGTGCGACTTAAAGGACGTTGAAAATGAAATGCATTTTCTGTTTTACTGTCGTTTGTATCATGAGCTGCTCTGTCAGTCGTGTCTAATGTCTCTTACTGTTGGTTTACTGTGTCTGATGAGGAGAGACTGAAGTATTTGTTTAAATGTACCGTTTTTAAGTTGGCTCAGTTTGTGTTGAAAGTCTGGGACCTCTGTAAAAGGACACTTCATGTGTGACCTGTCTGCTTATTGTTTTATGTGTCTTATAAGCCCATGCGGGCTGGGCACCAATTAAATGGTGCATCACACTAAGTGCAATAAACTCAATTAAAACAAATTCCTTGGCTTATCCACATGAATCAAAAACTGGTTCAGCGTCTTCTTGGTCAGTATGAATAAACTAAAGTGAAATTATTACTTCACAATTACTTCAGAAAGTGGTGCCATTATTCAACCGCAAACACGTGATTGATTGTGGAGCCAAACGTAAACAAATGATGAGTAGTAGCGGTGTGCAAAAATATCAAAATACTGAGATATCGATATATATTGTGGTTGTAACTGACGATAATGTCAGTATATTTATTTTCATGGTAATAAGTGTGAAAATTATATTTTAATATTTGAACAAATAAAACAATGTCAAAATTTTACAGTTATTAATTTTATATTTTATTTGTGAAAATATTTACCTTTTAAGTTGTGTGACCTTTTTCCTTGCCCCGGAAGTAAACAAAGAGTGAGAAATATAGTAGCTGCAAAAACAGAGGAAAAGACGATAGAAACACAGAAAAATGTGTAAAGAAAGACATGAAAATTAAAGACACGCTACTTAACTACCACTGGTGATGTACAGGCGAACACTGTAAATATTCTTTTCAATTGTGCATTTATTTAAAGGTATTTATGTAGAGCTGAGACATTTTCTGTGTGGGTCTTTATTTTGGTTTTCACGGTGTTTCAATGTGTTGATGGAATACACACATCAAGAATCTCAGACTTCCTTCCGGTCATTGCACAATTCATACTGGGAAGGATTTTCCGAAAAAGTGAGCATCAAACCTCCATGTTTGTTTTCCCAGTGGGATGTGTCTATTGACAAAGTCGATCTTTTCAAGTCTTTTGAACCATTTCACTGTTGTTTCTGGTTCTGATATTGTCATATTTTAGCTTTGGGATTCGGACATCGTTAATTGTGTGGTTGTTGAATGTTCTAACAGCGGAAAACGACTTGAGAAATGTGTTTGTGAACTCCATAAATGCAAAAGGGAATCAGATGTGTGTGACTCAAACCTGTTCAAACTGTTTCTCTTCCCAACGGAATTGAAAAATAGTGAAAGGTGAAGGCGATGGGCAGGATTGATCCACGGGAAAGATGAAAAAGGATGATTTAGGCAGTCAAAGTTTTCCTTTTTGGTCCTTCCTGTGGATCAATCCTGCCCATCGCCTTCACCTTTCACTGTTTTTCAATTTTTCAACACATTTCTCGAGCCGTTTTCGCTGTTAGGATCCAACAACCACACAATTAACGATGTCCGAATCCCAAAGCTAAAATATGACAATATCAGAACCAAAAACAACAGTGAAATGGTTCAAAAGACTTGAAAAGATCGACTTTGTCAATAGACTCATCCCACTGGGAAAACAAACATGGAGGTTTGATGCTCACTTTTTCGGAAAATCCTTCCCAGTATGAATTGTGCAATGACCGGAAGTCTGAGATTCTTGATGCGTCTATTGAAGATTACTGAGAATAAATATTGACACACATGAACATCAGTACGAAGCGTGAAGTCCTTTCTTGCGAAGAAAACCAGGGTAGCTACACTGGTACTACATGTGTTGATCCAGTATCATTATCATGGGCTGTTTTATCGATATATCAGAGTATTTTTCAAATCTTGTCCTGCCCTGAGTAAAAAGTCACACCTGCTGCTCCCTGTGGCTTGAGTTAAGACGTCCTTGGTTTGTGCAGACACATGGGCGTGATGGAGACGGCCATCTGTAAGTACCTGCGTCTGAAGGGGGTGAAGACGTCCGGGCTGGACCCTGGCGACGCGGCGGTCTGTCTGAGTCACGACGTGGCGATGCTGCGGATCGTGGAGGCCTTCTCCGAGTCTCTGCCTCAGCTCGTGCTCATGGTCACCACCCACATCCAGAGGGGCCAGCTGCACGCCTTCCCAAGTAAGACCTGGACTCACAAACACACAGCAGAGCAGACCTAGCGTGACACCTGTGGATTATTCGGTTATCATTTGGACATTTTAAAATCAATATTCATTCATAATAAAAGAAACAAGTCTGTTGACATCATAAACCTTATTGCAACAAAGTGGTGCTCTGCTGGACCAGGCTGGACTATTGGGCTGTAAAATATTGATAAAACTATTGGAGAAAAAAAAAAAAAAAAGCAGTAGGTGTGTCTGAGGAGTGGAGTAAAACTGTTGTGGTTCAGTATCGATGTTACGTTTTTAGACCTGGTTCAGTGCTGGTTTAATGCTAATTTAGACCTGATTTAGACCTGATTTAGACCTGATTTAGTCCTAGTTCAGTAATGGTTTAGACCTGCCTTAGCCCAATTTATACCTGGATTAGTCCTGGTTCAGTCCTCTTTCCTCTCTCTCCTCAGTTCATACAGCCATCGCTTCAGCCTTCTTCATCCCTTTGACTGTGACCATCCTGGTTCAGTCCTGGTTCAGTCCTGGTTCAGTCCTGGTTCAGTCCTGGTTCAGACCTGGTTCAGACCTGAGTTTGACCTGAGTTTGACCTGAGTTTGACCTGAGTTTGACCTGGTTCAGACCAGAGTTTGATCTCGTTTGGACCTGCATTAGACCTGGATTAGACCTGGTTTAGACCTGGTTTAGACCCGGTTTAGACCTGCTTCAGTCCTCTTAACCCTCTCTCTCTCCTCAGTTCTTAAAGCCGTCGCCTCGGCCTTCTTCGTCTCCATGACCGTGATGTCATATCATCGCTCGCTCCGTTCGTTCCTGAAGGACAAACATGAGCAGACCATCGCCGCCTCTGCCATCTACCTGATATGGAACCTGCTCCTGATCTCGGCCCGGGTCTCTGCTCTGGCCCTGTTCACCTCAGAGCTGCCCTGCTACATCTGCACACACTTCCTCTGCTCGTGGTTCGTTCTTTTCATCTTTGTGTGGTGCACTCAAACCAACTTCATGAACAGTAAAGGAGGAGAGGTTTTGTACCGGGGGACTGTGGCTCTCATCTGGTATTTCAACTGGTTTAACGTGGTCAAAGGAGACACGTTACGGTGGACGATTATTTATCACGGATATATTGTGGCTGATATCACGCTGCTGTGGGGGTTGTGGTTTTGGAAAATTAATTCTGATTTGACGAACTTTAACTATGAACATTTAATTGCATATTTTTGCATTTTATTTTTCTACATAATCGGGATTGGAGTTAAGTCAATCTACTATTACTGCTTCCACCCGAAAGTGACTTCAACAGACCTTCAGTGTGAAGAGGATACGGTGGACATCGTACCCTTACGTAGAGATTCTCCTGAAGAAAGGGTCGAGGATGTGCCTGATAATGGTATTATGTTTAGGATGGCCACAGTCCATACGCCTGGGAGGAGAGAACCAGGAGACAAAGTGAACATGAGGATGAGGAAACTAGCAGAAAATTTCTACTCCTGATCGGTCCTTGTGAAGTCATTTACCATTTGAATGTATTTTTTATCGTTCTTGAATACAAGATGTGTGCTAAACTGTCAATCTGCAGTTTAATCCAGGGTTTAGATGTTCTTTAACCCTAGGAGTCAAAGAGGAAGTTGGGAGCAGACTTTGACTCCTGACCGGTCACACTGAGGACATGAGGCTGCAGTGACCCAGTGACTCAGTGACTCGGGGCAACAGGTTTAACACAAACAAACTTTAAGAGGAAATGTCTGCTTATTATGGTTCATATCCCTTGTATATTATATTAGTTTTTCACAATCTATTCAGAAAGTGGTGCCATTATTTACAGAAGCCGAGAGGGGTCACAACAAACGCAAACGCCGCAACAAATACAAATGCGACAACACAAACGCAAATGCCGCAACACATTAAAAAGCCACAACACATTAAAAAGCCACAACGGAAGTGACCGTGGGACTCTATTTTCCGATGGACCAAACTACAATGTGAAAATTAAAGGAACGGAGAAGTTGGAAACGTAAGTAAAAGTAATTTATTGTTTTATCATTATTTGTTCCATGTTGTAGTTCTTCTTCACTTGTCGCTTGATTGGTCTGTTGGAAAAGAGAGTCCTGCGGTCACTTCCGTTGCGGCTTTTTTTTTGTTGTGTTGCCGCAACAAATACAAATGCGGCGTTTGCATTTGTTGTGACCCCTCTCGGCTTCCGTAATTATTCAACCGCAAACACGTGATTGTGGAGCCAATCGTAAACAAACGATGAGTAGTAGAGGTGTGCAAAAATATCAAAATACTGAGATATTGATATACACTGTGGTACTAAATGTTGATCCATGAGCTGTTTTATCGATACATCGCCAAGAGTATTTTTTGCCATCTACAATTTTTCTGCATATTTAGACAAAGGAAACTTTTGCATGCATTGTAAACTTGACATATTCTCTATTTTTATAATTTAAATAGATTCCATATTAACCTTGGGGGGCATAAAACAAAGGCAGTAAATAGTTATTGATTTCAGTGATATTAAAAGGTTCATTTTAAAGATTTTAAAGCACAAATTTAACATAACAAATTGGAACTAAAATATGGGATTCAACTAAACTAAATGAAATCACACAAAACCAAAATGAATAATGCAAAACCAAACGTTAATCAAGCCAAACAACCAGTTGAATCCCAGATTTCAGTACCCAAAGTGTTAGGTGCTTTAGTATTTTTGTTTTGTTTCTGTTTTTAGATGTAAAGTGCTAAGGTGTGCGGCCTTAAAGTGCTCTGGACTATTAGATGTTTAAAGTGCAAGGTGGTACTGCATTGCACTGTCCTCTAACACACAAACTACCCCAACGAAAACATATATAAGCACTATAACAACTACACTAACTACACTGAGATAAAAGGAGATTATGGGCAAACTGACAGACTTTGCGAGAGAATTCAAGGGAGTTTGAGAGAGAATTTAAGAGAGAATCTGAGAGAATCTGAGAGCAGGAGTAACAGCAGCAGCACAGTCTGCCACGCAAAAATACACAAGTTACATGACAAATGCAATCAACCACCAGCACCCAAAATACACACCACCAAGGGCATCTACCTATCAGGGGTGCCTACACTTTTTCAGCATGTGAGCTACTTACAAAATGTCCAAGTCAAAATGATTGACCGACGGTTACACCCTTATCATCAGAAAGCCCACTAGTCAGAAAGCCCACTAGTCAGAAAGCCCACTAGTCAGAAAGCCCACTAGTCAGAAAGCCCACTAGTCAGAAAGCCCTGTAGTGTACACATTAGGGTTAGATTTGTCTGGCTTTTGAAGTTTGACCATGTGAAAATTGAAATGGCTGCTATGACCTTGGAAAATGGATCAAGGTCAAATGGCTGGTATGGGACAAAGGTCATGGTAGGGATAATAATTTGGCATAGTGAAAAGGATCTTGTTGTAAAAATCCTTTATATTATAAGCAAAACTAATTCCCATTGAAATGCATTGGAAAAGTGAACTTTGCCCTAAAAGATCCACAAAGTAGGTCACTGTGACATAATTCAAGAATTGGAAAGAGATATTACCCTAAGGAATCTAAAGACATTCATATGGACTCTAAGTCAAACAGTCTAGATTTGTCCAGCCATGATTAACGGACAGACAGACAGATGGATGGACGCCGGACACTGGGTGATCGCATAAGCTCAGCTTGAGTTTACAGCTCACAAGCTGAGCTAAAAATGCCTTACAGTTGGTCCTTTTCAATACGACCAGGCGGGATACCCAGAACAGGAGCATTTTTATGACACGCCGAAATAGTACATATACTTTAAGCTGAGCTAAAAATATCAAGGCCTCTTATTTTAAATTTTTCGCACAATTGGAAGTTCGTATAAAAATTAATGTCTTTATGAACTTTGAGGTGAAAATTTGGAAAAGTATTTGTGCACGTTTATTATTGTGTATAGTTATAATTGCACATCCTCTGAATACCTCAATAATTACAATAATGAGTTTGACGTAAATATTAACATTGTTCTTCCATAAAGTAATATATTTGAATTTGAGATTATGTGAATACCATGTACTTCAAGTCTATGCAGGAAATAATAACTATTTATAATATAATGTAAGTTTTTTGGTTTGTTTGAATTTATTTAACAGTATTCAGTACTTTTTATGAAACATTTTCTTTATACATTGTACAGTCCTTGCATCACCTGTTTAATAAAATGCTTTTTTTATGTTATTAGTTGAATGCTTTTCATTTTGTTCATTCTACACTGCAGTGAAAACATTTGGGTATACCTTTTCATTGAATGTTTTTCTTTATTTTCATGACTGTTTACATTGTGGACTGTAGCGGGGTGAGCCTTATCATCAGAAGAGCCTCTAGTCAGAAAAAAATCAGGTCGTGTTACAAATTGTTACGAATGAAATTGTATTTCAAGTTTTAAATATTTTATAAAGTAAATATTAAAAGTAATAAATATATTAAACCCTTAAAATACAGCAAAAATGTTTGAGGAAATAATGATTTGAGTGGAAATGTCTGTCTAAAGTGGAACAGGGTTAATAATTGTCTGATTTTCAGGCAACAACTTGCAAAATGTTCAGTAATTCGAGCTCTACAACCTTCATTTCAATTTTATTTTAAATCTTTTTCTTTTAATACAGCATTGGTGGGTTTGTAAACCAACAAAGTAAGTAATTCTGGTCTTAGCTAATGCTGTTATACATGATTATGCATTTTCCTGTCAATATCTCTAAAAATGTTGATGTTGCAGCCATTTTTATTTGGTAAACATCCAAAAGTTTACAAATTCTTCCCTGATATCCAGGGATTATTCGCTGTTCCTTTCATCAAATATACATTCAGTTGTTCAAGAGAAATGTTGCTGACAAACCAATAGAAGAGGGAATGATTTTCTGACTAGTGGACCTTCTCACTACAGGGCCTTGGTAAAATGGTAAAAGGTCACATTTTGCTATAGCGCTTTTCCATCTTCAAGGCACTCAAAGCGCTTTACAACAGGGAACCACTCACCCATTCACACACACATTCACACACCAGTGTGGGCCTTCTGACGATAAGGGTGTAACCAACTGTAGCTAGGAAACTAATTTAAAGTGGGGGTATTTTTTTCTAAGGGGTATTAACTGACTACCCCTGTCCTCCTATTGTCTCCTGCAGTGAAGAATCTTGGAGTGACTGGATTCCATGTTCAAGCTGGACAATCACATTCACTCTGTGATTAAGTCCAGCTTCTTTCAGTTAAGGCTCCTCACTAAACTAAAGCCCGACCTCCCACGGCAGAGTTCCAAAAAGCGATCCATGCTTTCCTGACATCACATCTGGACTATTGTAATTCTTTGTATGTAGGGTTAGACCAGGGCTCCTGCAGCGTTTACAAATCAAACCAAACTTTATTTATAAAAGCGCTTTTCATATAAAACTGTATCACAAAGTGCTTTACAGTGACTAAACAATCCCACATTTCTATCCACCCACCCACCAACCCAACCCCCACACCTGCCCGATCCCACACAACCAGACAACTCAAACATGCACACACAAACACACACAAACACAGTAAAATACATAAAACGACACATAGTAAGATGTGAGGCTGAATCCAGGTGAACCAGTTGAGAAAGCACCATCAGAGGAGCCGTCTACACCAGGAGCAGAGAGACGTTCACCACCACCACCAGGAACCACCACAGGAACCACCACAGGAGCCAGGGGAGAGATGAAGCCCAAACACCAACCCTCCACCAGGAGCCCACGGGACAGACCAAGCGGCCACAGCCGACCCCTGCTCCTGATGCAGAGGCTCCTACAGAGGAAACACTGGAAATCCTAAAAATATGCCTAAAATGAATAAATATAATAAAATATACACACTAGAAACAAGTAAAAGTATAAGATTTCAATCAAAAGCCAAGCTAAAAAGGTGGGTCTTGAGCCACTCAAGACCCACGTCCCACCCCAAGTCTACAACACGTCCAGAACACTGCAGCTCGTCTGCTGATAAATACTAGGAAACGTGAATACATCACACCTGTTCTGTGTGACCTGCACTGACTCCCTATCTTATATCAGGTGCAATTTAAAATGTTATCATTTTCAAATGTTTGCACTCTATGGGTGCAGTCTATTTGAGGGATCAGTCGACCAGCTCCTGCTGCTCCTCCAAAACTCAGCTCAAGACAAGAGATGACAGAGCCTTTTTCTGTGGCAGCGCCCAGACTGTGGAACAACCTTCCTCTTGCTGTCAGATCCTCTCAGTCTAACACAGTTTAAGACCAGACTGAAAACTCTCCTCTTCTCCCTGGTATTTAGTATGAGCGAGTCAGGTTTCTTGGTGTTTTTATTGTAGTAAATCAGTATATGTAACCGTTTCTTCTATGTTGTTGACTTGTACGTGAAGCACTTTGGTCAGCTGAAGTCATTTTAAATGTGCTATAGAAATAAACTTCAATTGAACTGACTAAATTGGTATCATGTTTTTGGATATCTATGAGGAGATATGTGTGTGTAGCAGAGAGGGGGCTTCAAAAGGGGTCCCCCCACTTTTATTTATTTACAACACAGGTAAGTCTGGCTTAAACACAGGACAAAGGCATTAAAGTGGAAAAATATACAGTTCTTTATTTTAGTTACTATTAAAATAGCTCATTTTACACATTTTCTTTTAAAAAAGATACACAATCGCACAACAATTTGGGAACTAAAACCTGGGACACAAACCAAATCACACAAAAACTATTAATAGTGCAACAAAGGAAAATCAATCAAACCAATTCAAATAGTTGCATCCCAGGTTTCAGGAACCAAAATGCTAGTGCAAATTTATTTATACATAAAAAAGGTGCTATAGTACTTTTTTTTCGGTGCGTGGCTTCACTATTAGGACTTTAGGTGTTTTAAAGTGCACACACCCCTAGCCGATCACTATAGCAATTTCATTCCCACTACAGGTAAAAGAAACTACGGAATCACTTCATGAGAAAATGTAAACACCCCCAAACATGCATCACCCAGAGCCTCTACCTGGCTTTTAGAGGCGTACTCTACATCGGGGCCCTGAGCGCGTTAAGGCCAATTTATGGTCCAGCGTCAAATCGTCTGCGTTGACCAACGTGCACCTCCGACATTTTCTAACTACGCGTCAAAACGACGCAGACAGTAGGGGAAGCGACGCAGATGATAAGAGCTGTGATTGGTCCTCTGTACCACCGCTCTGTAGACATTTCCTGTAGGCTTTTCTTTCAGTATATATTGAGAAATAATGTGTTTAATGACGCTTTGTGCATATGTGTTTGTTTTACAGAAACGAAACTTGAAACCACATGGCAACTTACATAAACAAAGCCTCATAAAACAGCTCCTGGTACGTGTGACAGAGTCACATTGTACTAATGACGAGTCTGTTCTTTTGTCGCGTTACAGATGGTTCATGTTCAACTTTTCAGAGATTATACGTCTGCGGGTCATACACTCAGACCGTATATATGAATGGACAGATATCGTCGCCCCCTAGCGTTTTGGCAGTGAATTACTTCGCGGTGCACAGACCTCGACGCAGAACTATACTTCACCCTTTAGGAGCGGCCGGCATTACACCTTTAGATTTAATCAGAAACAACGCATTAAAACAAATTCAAAAATTTTGTTTCTCAATATCTCGGTTAATTTTTGACCAAATCCCATGAAATTTGACTCAGGGATGGACAATGAGATCCTCTTTCATATTCCAAAGGCTGATCCGGATCTGATCCAGAAGACTGATTTTATCGCAATTTATATAAAAAAATGGGGGTAGTCCTTGGCGGAGGTCTGCGCTCTCTGAGTGCTTTTCTAGTTTACTTTTTTTTTTTTTTTTGTGGTCCGGTGTCTGTATTTTGACTTAAGTAACTAGACTGAGTACTTCTTCCAGCACTGGTGCGAGTATGATGCCCAGTGCAATGTGAAGAGCGAAAGGCAACTCAAAATTTTCCAAATGAAAAACTACCAGGGCTACACAGAGTCCACATAACCATGAAGAGAAGACTCGTCTTTACCGACTATTTTTCTCCACAATTGTCTCTCTGTAAATGATTTTTTCTTATAAAACTGTAACAGAACAGGAGGAGCTCGGAGTAGAGCTGCTGCTCTTCCACGTCAAGAGGAGCAGCTGAGGTGGTTCAGATGCCTCCTGGAATGCCTTGGGGTCCCCTCAGAGGATCTGGAGGAAGTGTCTGGGGAGTCTCTGCTTAGACTGCTGCCCCCCGCGACAGACTTGAACTCATTCATATGACGAGCTCAAGGCTGGACTCATACACCTACAAGAATCCACCCGTCCATGGATCCTGATAGGCAGGTGAATGCACAGACTTGAACTGCCGTGCTGAAGACTCAAACTCAAATCTGGTCCCACACTGCAAAATGTGTCAGTGATATTCATGCTTTATCGGTGCGTCCGTCTTGATTCAGCACTGATAAACTCAGAGTGTCAGCGTGACCCTGCACCCCAATTCAGCCTTTATTCCAAAACTATTATTCCAAAACTAGTTGACGCCTGTAGTGTGGACACTTTTCAGCCTCCTTCCCACACTTCTGCTGAGCAGCAGCGTTCACACAGGCTGTGCCGTGTGTGTGGCACATGACATCCTTTACCAACAGTGTAATGCTACACAACACAGTGAACACAAGGCCCTTATGAGAAACAACTGAACAATTTCCTTAAACAGCAAAACCTAAGTAATGCACAGTTCTACACACAACTATTTTTAAGTGCGTTCATGGTGGACAACTAAAAGTGTTCTATTTGTTTTATTTAATTGTCTGTTCTCTTCAACCTCCCGCTGCTCCTCTCCAGTGAACCACAGCTCAGCTCAACCACACCTTCAGTTACCCTGAAGCATTTTCTATCCAGGTCTATCCTGACAGCACCGTCTGTCTCCGCTCTCTTGACCCCTTCTCTCTCACCCCGAAGACCTCATCCTCTACAAAGGGGGGGGGGGGGGGGGGGGGGGGGGGGGTGACTATGAGTGTTTAAAATTTTTTGTCAACAACTGTGAAAGAATCAATCACAGGTTTTCAACTTGTACCCTGTTGGTTGAGTGTTTAAACTCTTTCCTATTTCATTCTGATACTTTACTTATTTCAATTTAGTTTTCCATCTAGAAATTTTCTGAAAAATAAGAGACATTTGAATTGTCAAAAAATCTGAGTCAAACAACCTAATCTTGTTATCCAAACTCCAAGTTACCACTTGACTGGACCCATATGTAATGTTTACTGTTATAAGTCGTTTTTGAATAGCTCTTTATTTATTATGACTCTTTAACTTATTTTCACTTATTCCACTTTTATTTGAATTTTGGCTGAAGATAATAAATCTATTTGCATGCATATTTGCATTTCTACCACTAGATGCCACCAAAAGATATTCAAACTCACATAAATGTCATAGCTGCAAGATTTGTATCATAGGCCCACTGATCCTGAATCAGAATACTGATATCCTCTTCCACCAGCCATAAAACTCAGCATGTTTTGACTGAGTTTTACATGTGTATGAATGGCAGCACTATCTCGCCTCATTACGAGTAGGTTCTAGGTTGGATTCTTTGGATGTAGTGAGGTCTTTTGTGGTCTTTATGGTCCTGGGTCTTTCCTCTAAGTACTCCTCCAAAATAAACCCAAAAACAGGCAGGAGTCAGCTTATCCTCCAGACAGGATCCTGAGTGGAGGTCTGCAGATGGGTCCCCGGTCAGCCCTTTAGCCCTGGGTGAAAAAAAAAAAATGCAAGGAACATGATTACATGAAAACAACATGAAACTAGAACATTTTAGCTGAAATGTGTAGTTATTTCTGTTGACAAAGGACAGCTCACAAAATATAAAGCAAAAACAGCTCACATTTTATTTATTTATTTACTTTTTTTTTTTTTTTTTTTAATAAAATGAGCCCTTGTTGAGGTATACTATCTAATACTTCTACAAACTGCTGTATGTAAACTGCAAAAACACATAACCAGGTCAAAGGTCAAATCCTCCGGTCCAAGACTAGCTCAAGATCTGGAGATGAGTCCCACTGTTCCTAACAGGTTTAACCCAGAGACACTGAAGACAAAATTCCATACAGGGACAATGAAGTGGACCTTAACCTTAATCATTTGCTCAATTAAAAATGGCAAAGGAGAAATTCAATTTATCAACTGGACAAATTTTATTTGGTCGAGTATGTTTCTCAGCTCATCTAAGCTGCACTGAAAAAAAAGGTCGCTGGATTTGCGTAAAAAAGTTATGGAAAGTGGTTGCATGCAATAAAATAATGTTTAGGCTTTGAAACTTATTTTTGATTCCCTCTAGACATATTTTTCTCAGAACATGAACGTCACTATTTCATGTTGATGAAATTTGATCAAATCCTGCTGAATAAGCATATTTATCTGATGTTACCTTATCATGAAATGTATAAGTATGTATAATTTAATTTAATTGATCTAATTCTGTAAAATAATACAAAAACAGTCTTTAGTTTTCCACAGTTCTGTTTTGTCTTAAACAGAATCAAACACACAGAGACACACAAGTACAGAGACACACAGTTTGGAGCTGGACAGTGTGAAGATTTATTCCAGTGAAGAAGCTCTGGTCTCTGTGGACACAGAATAACACATGATGATCACATTCTGATCATCTACTCTGTTGTACATGTTTAAATACATTTAAAGCACTTATTACTACAATAATGGACCAGAACAGAAGAACAAGAACATTAGAAGTGTATCTGCAGAAACAAAACTCACCATGTGCTGCTTTTCTTCCTCTAAACACAGTAACAGGGAGGGCATCTGGTATAAAGTCTCCTAGTGCCACATCACCTTGTACAAGTACGATAACAGTTTCAATAGGAAGTTCATTTTGAAAAATTCTTTTAAAATCAATTTAGTTGGTTTACTTACTTTGTTCATCTGTGCTCTGTGTTTTGTTGGTTATTAAACATCTTCCTTTTTCCTGAAACATCAGCTGTAACATTCATGAACTTCCCCACAGCTCCAGCAGAGCTCTGGACGTCACTGTTTGTAGACGACCCTGGAACAAACACATTCAAATTTTAGTACAACTGTCACACTCTTGTAGATGGACAGTCAAAGACTATTTGTTTCATGGAAACAGTCCTGACATTAACTCTAATTTCAAATAAAACACCACAAACATGCTTTAACAATGACGACATTCTAGTCCAGAGAAACATATAACATCTTTGAAAAGTCTCACCTCCAGATCAGCTCTGATAATCCTCCTGCTCCACACTGTGTGTCTCTGCTCCTGGAACTGTCCTGTGTCCTGTTACGAGGAGAATTCCAGAGGGAGGAGCCTCACCACAGATTAGAATAAAGTCATGTTTCCTCAACCTGATTAAAACCTGCAGGTCTCACATCGGCCACAATCAAGTGACCTTTGTAAGATTTAAACATGCTGGACAGAGAAATGTAAAAAAGTCATGTTATTGTTGTCAAATTTGTTTTGACAATTTGAGCAACCCCTCTTGGACCGTTTTTTCAGTGTGCTTCTTCAGTTGTGGTCAGACTCTGCTGGACACTGTCTTATATCTGTCTGCAGGGAGGAGCTAACTACACTGAAACTACTCTGACTTACTTCCAGTTTCTGTTAGTTTAGCTCGGCTTATTGAACTGGGAACTGAGTGTGGGTCATCTTAGCAGAATCATTCAGAGTCATAATGGAGCTTTCACACCTCTGGACCTGACCTGGCTACAGCTGCTGTTGTTCTCTTGTTTGTTTTGATTTACTGAAAATATTTTTATTGCTCAAAACCACCTTGTAAAAACAGGCATTCTTACTGTGAGTTGTGTCCCCTCTCCACAGATCTGACCTATAACTTGGCCTGGTGCCATCAGTGCTTGTATCCATGGAGAGAAGTTTAATAAACTTTGGAAGATTCGAGGCAAAATAATATCTCAATGAAGACAGAAAGTAGACTTCTACCAGAAAAGTACATACTGTAGTACATCTTTAAAGTCCTGTTCAAATAAATCATATAATCTTTCTGCATTAATAAACGAGCACAGGATTAATGAATGTAACAGAAATACGTCGACAGCTTTATTTGAGTTTGAAGAAAAAAGTTGTTTGTCAATAAAACAAGAACCAAATGGTGATAACTGTAACAGCTGAAATAACTTACAAAAAATATGATTACAACCGAAAAGTCAACATCTTTGAGCAATTTTGTTTAAATTTGGATTCTTCTGGTAAAATCTTCAGGTGGTCAAGAGATTGCCAGCTTTAAAATATAGATATTACATAAGATCTATGTAAAGTCACCGTCCACAGAGTAAAACAAAGGCACTCGACTAAAACAAACAATCAATACGTGTTGAAAATCAAACACAAAACACTGAAAATGTGATGCAATAGTCCTGACCTAGTCCTAGTTTAGTCCTGGTCAAATCCAGGTTTAGTGCTGGTTTTGTCCTTTTTTAGTCATGGTCAAATCCGGGTTTAGTCCTGGTTTAGTCTTGGTTTAGTCCTGCTTTTGTCTTGGTTTAGTCCTGGTATGATCCTAGTTTAGTCCTGGTTTAGTCTTAGTTTAGTCCTAGTTTAGTGCTGGTTTATTCCTGGTCTAGTCGTGGTTTAGTCCTGGTTTAGTCATGGTCAAATCCGGGTTTAGTCTTGGTTTAGTCCTGGTTTTGTCCAGGTCTAGTCCTGATCTGGTCCAGGTCTAATCCTGGTCTAGTGCTGATCTGGTCCAGGTCTAGTCCTGGTCTAGTGCTGATCTAGTCCCGGTGTGGTCCTGGTTTAATCCTGGTCTAGTCCTGGTTTAGTCCTCGCCTAGTCCTGGTTTAGTCCTCGTCCAGTCCTGGTCTAGTTCTAGTTTAATCCTGGTTTCATCCTGGTTTCATAGTTACAGAAAACACAATAACCATCCAACTTCAATGGATTATTATTATTCTGCTTTTGTTTCACATCCAATTATTTCAAAGTTCCCTTTAAAAAGAGATTCACAAGAACAAGTGAGGTGTTTTCATATCGCTTCAGTCTTTGTCGTGTCTTTGTAGTGTTGGTTCTACTCAAAACATTTAACGTGCTCTGTAGTATAACAAATAAAACAGATAACACTGCATTCAAGTCACATATTAATATTGTAAAAAGTTCTTTATATTGTGCAGCCCTGATGTCCAAGACTCAGACCCACAGACTCAAATCTATCTACATTCAAAGTCTTACAACAGCAAAACTCTCCCTGATTTTAAAAGCCAAAAATGCCCCATGTTTGATTGTAACATTTTCGACCAAACTTCGTAAAAATGTATCAAAATGGCCATTATAGCTTCTGGTTTTAAAAGTATAAAAATGTTGTTGAATGAAAGTACATTTTTTTTGCTGAAGTTTGTGCTTATTCTTGTCAACAAAATAACAGATTAAAAATATAAACCAAAAAACATCGAACGATATTTGCATGCGTTGAAATATAAATGAAAATAGTGTGAGCCCTTGTTGAGGTATACTGTAATACTTCTAAGTACTGCTATAGTGATTTAAGGCTACGAGGTAAAGCTGTAATGTAATATGCAAAAACACCACATGAGGGAGCTGCTGTAACAGAAATAGATGTATACCATGTGATTTATGTGTTTTGAGTTTATATATTGAATACACCGTTTATATATCGTTTACAGTTTGTACACTGCTTGCTTAGACTTGGTGTAAAATAGTAATAGTACTTTTTAGGTGTGCAAAGTAAAGATTTTATACTTTGTCTTCACCACATTTTCATAACATTACTTCATTTTAAAGTAGAGCTAAAATTTCCCTCTTGAATCTCCCGAAACTTGTATAGTCATCAACCATGTACATTAAATATTCATGAAAAGCTCATAATAAAATGAAAACCGTTAAATAAATAAGAGTTTGGCATATGAAACTCCAAGATCTTGTGTCTTGTGTGGTCACTTCTATAACCGACTGACCCGTGGACTTTAAAGGGTCCATATTACGCCATTTTCTGATCTGATATAATGTTGTTTCCTCATCACACACACAGTTGGAGTTGTGTTTTGTTTCAATCACACGTTTAACACACAAACCCTGCAGATTTACGCCGAGTTCTTCTCTCAAACAGAAAACACTATTCCACTTTATGATGTCACAAGCTAATACAGGAAGTATTACCAAATGACTCGTTTTTGAAGTCCAGACGCCTTCACTAGAATCATCTGGATGATTTCAAAACTGGAATTGTCAGAGTCCTGCACTGGGTCAGGTACCTGCAAACAGTTACTGAAATGGGCGGGTTTTCTGGAATTTTACGGGCAGGTATGTGGGTGAGTAGTGATTACACACAGGCGGGTCAGGTGAATCAAATATATATTATACACACATATATATATATTAAACTATTATGTACAAATTGTGGTAATTATTAGACTTTTTTGTATAATTCTTATTGTTGTGTTGTTAGGATGACCATGTTTACATCTGTCCAGGGACTACAGATGAAAAACAGTCTCTCTGGCCAATTCTGGTACATTTACAGAAATGTTGAATAATGTACACTGTCCCTGTTAAATAAACCAAATAAATAAATAATTACAGTGTGTTCAGTCCTCTACATATTAAAGCTACAGCCTACGTCACTTAATAGCGAGCGGGGCAATTTCTCCAGCAGCATTCCTGCTTTGAGGAGCATCGGCATGATGGGCGAGAGAAAAGTAAAGTTTGCGAGCGGTGATTCATCACGGGCACAGGAGGATAACAGGAGGAATCTTAATACATCCGAGCGGGTACAGATTTAACTTTAATATAGAATCAAGGGTTAATGGGCGGGTGTGGTGCTGTACTGCGTGGGTCTGGGCGGGTGTGGGTCTCCAAACATGGACCCATGCAGGACTCTGTTGCCAATCTCTAATGAACAAAAGGTAAAAAGTACCTTGACTTAACTTGAAAACGACTTCATTACATCACAAGGTGGAACAGAGCGTTTTGAGCTTTGGAGATGTGGACAGACTAATAAACCAGAATTATTCAAACATGTGTGAATGAATCAAAACACAACTCTGGCTCTGTTTTTGAGGAGGTAACAACATTCTAACGTGGCTAATAGTTCACAAGAGTCCATTTTGTGTAATATAAGACCTTTAAATGTTCATGGTCAAATGAAAGCTTAGAATAAAATGAAACGTATAGTATTTGGCACCAACAAAAAACAAAAACTGTATCAGATATGTGATCCTTCAGTTGACATTATTTCCCATCTGCCTCTAAATGTGAGATTCAGTTTTCTTCCTGGTGGTGGCCCTCTCCAGCTCTCTCCTCTCAGAGTAAAAGTTGTTCGCTAGCAGAGCCATGCGTTTATTGACCAGCGGCTGAGAAAGGGTTCTGTCCTGCGCCGACATGTCCCGAAACGTCACCTCTGAATCGGGCAAGTCGTTCGGGAGCCCTGGGTCTCTCTGCGGAGGCCTCCACAGCTTTGGATGGAAGCAGCAATAGTACAAAGTTTTAAGCAGCAATCCGGAAATGTAAACGAGGGGGAGGGAGATGATCAAACCCAGAGAATACGACTGGCTCTCGATGGGGTCTCTGTAAAGCCACCACGTTGTGAGAAGAATCACGCAGTCAACGGTGATGAACGAGTGGTAAATGACACTTCTGCCTCGCGTTCTTCCTTCCGTGACGTTAAACCAGCTGAAGTACCAGATGAGCCCGACGGTGGCGCGGTACAGCCACTCTCCGGCGCGACTGTCCATGAAATCCGTCTTCTGTCTCCAAACCCATGCCACGAAAACCACCCATAACAGAGCGAAATGCAGAGCGATGAAAGAGGAGAGGACGGAGGAGAAGAGGGCGAGGGATGCGACGCGCGGAGAGATGAGCAGGAGGTTCCACAGGAAGTAGACCAGAGAGGAAGACCAGGTTTGTTTGGCTTTGTCGGGGACGAAGGAGCGGAGGGAGCGGTGGTAATCGACGACCATCCAGGCCATGGACGTGGTGGAGGCGGCGATGCTCACGACTGCAACGACACAAGAGAGAGGGAGGGAGGGAGGGAGGGAGAGTGATGGGAAGTGTGGAAGGGAGGGAGGACAGAGGCAGAGAGACAAAGAGAGGGGAGAGAGAAGGGTAGGCAGAGAGGAGAGAGTGAAAAGGAGAGAAAGCATAAGGAAAGAGGTAAGTGTAGGGAATGAAAGACAGAAACCCACAGCAGAGAGAGAAATATTGGAGAGAGAGGGAAAGAGTGATAGAAAAAGACAAAAGAGGGAAGGAGGAGGGAGAGATGAAGTTATAACAATTGAATTCACACAACAGTACTCATCTTAGTGTTGTTTGTGTTGTCATGAATAGATACGTTCTAACACTAATCACTAATCCATGCATGGGGATTTGTTTTTACTTACTAAGTGGAGACACTACAGCCAAAACTAAGACTACATTCAGACTGCAGGGATTAATGCTCAAGTCGGATTTTTTTGTGAAATCCGATGTTTTTGCGAGGTCGTTCACATTTCCAATTAAATGCGACTTGTATGTGACTCCAGTGTGAACATTAAACGGCCCAAAAGTGTCCCACATGTGCACTGGAGACACGACGACGTCAACCGCAGCGAGCGTCTCTGTGTTTACAGAAGCTGTCCAAACATGGACGCGAGCATTGAACACCTGGAGATTTTAAAGTTCCTCTCGTACCGGAGCCAGAACATGAACAACTTACTTGTTTTAAGGAGGAGACTGAGAAGGAGAAGAACGAGGTTTTTGGCCGTGGTGTTTTGTGGGACAGCAGCAGTGACGTCCGTTGAAAGGAACGTGTGGATGTGGAGTCAAGAGTGGTGAGTGGTGATGTGCTTCACTTCAGTGACACAGAGTTCATTAACAATTTTCGCCTACTTCAGCGCAGAATAGTGACGTTTGTGGCTTGTTGATAACGTGTAGGTGGATGAATGCACTTTGACCATTCAGACTGAAGTCACATGTCAAAAGATCAGATATGTATCAGTTTCAGGAGCACATATCCAAGTGTCCTGGGTCACATTTGAAAAAATCAGATCTGTGTTGTTCAGACTGTCATTAAAAGATCAGATACAGGAACATAGGGTCACTTCAGGCTGCAGTCTGAACGTAGCCTAAATGTTTAGTTTTTTGGTTTTGTCTCTTAACATACATGCTTTCATGTAGAAACACCCAAACTGTTTAACGTGTCTGTTACAAAACAGGAAATATTGTAATCAGGATGTTCCAAAACAGTACAACTAGAGTTCAATGAATCCTGGATGACTGCACCAGGCAGCACTTTAAACAGTAAATGATGCATAGATGAGCTTCTGTCACTCTTTAAAAAGCTCTGCAGTACTACCATACAAAGGCAAATGAGCTTAACTCTCCAGAGTGTGAAACTGAGAACAATGAATTCAAAGTTTCTGTCTTGTCCAGACAAAAGTAGAATAGGCAGGGCTCCCAAAATCTGACAACTAGTTGATATAATGAAGAAAGATTTGTATGTGAAAATGAGCTCAAAATTGACCTCTGACCCTTATTTGTCAGTTCCTGTTCTCTGCCTTTGGATCATGAGCCAAAAATAAGTTTTCGTGCAAAGGCCAAAGGCAGAAACTGACATGATCATTATTTGCTTGATTTTGTCCAGACTTCTATCCATTATAAGAGCTTTGGATTTCCTGTTTATTTCTGATCAGGATCATGCAGAGACTCACACAGTCAAACAGTTTGACTTACAAGTGACTTTGCAGTACAGTCTGAATAAATACAATAAATACTTTCATATTAAAGATCATTCAAGTATAACCGAATGCAAAGGTTTATTTATTGAATGTTTTAAGACTCTGTGTCAAGGCTGGAACAATATGAAGGAGGCGAGAGGTTGGATTTTAAAATTAAATATATTTATGAACTAAATCACAAACAAAACATACACTGTTTCTGCCTTTTTGTCTTTGAACGACTCCTCATTTTTGACAAAATACATGAACTGACAAATGAGGGACAAAGGGCAATTTTGAGCTCAATATCTTTCAGGATATTTATTCACATGATAAAGGAGGTCTCAAATACAAACAAAATGACCAAATTGACCAAACATGATGTTACGGTGTTCTGCCTTAGTACGGCAGTAGACTGGTCCAGTGTTTCCAAGGCAGGTTTGAGCATTCAAAAAATGTTAAAAAATGTAAACTTTGGGCAAAATCCACTGTGTGTGAATGACTTTCGCGCACCTGACCTAAAATACAGAGGGTCCGACTAAAGGCGTTTGGCATGATTGTGAAAGCAGCATAAGAGTGATTCTTTTATAATAGCATGATATTAAAGAAATGTTAGAATGTTTACTCACACTGCACAGTGCGGGCCTTGTTGGTCTGCAGCATGACGTATATCATGAGTGTCAGCTGGGGGGCGCTCTCACAGAACGTCTCGATGAGTCGCAGCATGCTGAGGTCATGGGTCAAATACACCGCGTAATCTGACCCCTCCTCCCTCCGCCACCACACCCGGAAGCCCTGCCAGATCACCCAGAAGTGCCTAAAAACAACACAGCTCAGGGTTAGATTTGGGTAAGCACAGAGGCACTCACAGCAAGAGGGTCCAGGTTTGATTCCTGGACAGGCGGGGACTTTCTGTGGGGTTGGGCAGTTGTGGGGATTTTCTGCGGGGTTGGGCACTTGTGGGGCACTTGTGGGGAAGTTGTGGGTGTAGAGTGGTCATGTGAGAGGAAATGTGGGATTACTTTTTAATGAGTGTAAAGCACAAACATGTGTTACTTTTTTTTTTTTTTTGTATGAATAGCTTTATAAATAAAGTCTGATTGGTTGATTCTGGTCCAGATGGTAATGGTGAGGAATTTAAAGCCACACAGTCATTTTTTCCCCAAAGAACAGATTAACACATGCATTCTTACTGTGAGCGGTCTTACATCTCCCTGTATGGCATAAAACATATATCTACGGACAACGATAAATCGGTTTTAACTTTCTGTTTCCATGGAATCAGGCAGTTATCTTTCCACCTTCAGAAAGTTACATTCTGTAGCTTGAAGTTTACTCAGCCAGTCAAAGGAAGAATATGCAAAGTCCACTTAGAAAGACTCCACTAAAGATCCAGGAATGAAACTCTGGACCTTTTTACTGTGAGACGGGAAGGCCACTTTAGAGGTGGGCATTGAACTATGTATCGAAACTAAAATAATCCTGGAAACATTAGGGGTGTGCATTGCCTTAAGTCTGATGATACGATACATATCATGATGTCCATGTCACGATTCAATATATCACGATATAGTCCAACACTAAAACAGTGGATGATATGTTGCAATTTATCAATAATTAGTTCTAATAATACACTCAACTACATCTTCATGAGAACACAATTGTATGAAATAGGGAAGGGCATTCGATGAAATTTTCTTAATCGATCGTCGAGAGAATTAACGATCGATTATCGATTAATCATTAACGTTTTTATATTAAAATGATCATCATTATTATTATATGCACTCCTAATCTGCATAAATAAATTCAACTTTACCACATCAGCCCGTTTGACATTATAATGTGTTTAATTCAGTTTTGTGCAACTCTCACAGAAACAAAACTTAAAACCGCATCACTAATTTACATAAACTAAGAGAAGATAAAACTACAGCTCTTGTGTCGCTGATGCGGTCAACTTCTGTCAGATTAAAAGACATGACTCAGTGGAATACAGGTTAGTGTGACCAGATTTGCATTTGTCAAAACCAGGACACCGTACGGGGGGAGGGACGTGGGACTCGTCATCGACATTGAGCGACTCTCACCTGGCAAAACTTTTTCCCACTGGACACCGAAACATATGTGCTGCTTTATACACTGTGCACATGGACTCACACTTGTCCCGAACGGAATGGAAAGTGTGGAATTTCTTGTACAAATCATCGTTAAATACGCATATGCACTTCGGTACGTTGCAGACTGACCCACTGTTTGTGTCTCGCTCCTTCTGAGTGGAGAGACACATGTAAAGACCCCTGTTTAGTCACACTACGCACAGCAACCTACATTCGGTTTGTCGATTAAAATTTACGTAATCGATGAAATTCTTAATGATCAATTATCGATTAATCGACTAATCATGCCCATCCCTTGTATGAAATATAATTTACTAACATTTTTAAATCATGAGAACAGTGAATGTGACAAAAGAATTTTAGTGAAAAACATTATTTAAAAAAATCAATTCAGATGCATTTTTACTCGATTCAAGAATTGAGCAATGAAGTATCACGATATATCACTGAATCGATTTTTTTCTTACACCTCTTGTAAACATTTTTAAAAATACAAAATAGTTTATGTCGGAAACTCAAAAATGCCCTAACAGCTCAAAACTGACTTAGACCATTACTCTAGAGATTTTGAGTAAATCGTCTAGTTCTTTATGCAAAACTCCAGCACACCTTTAGTGCCTCTCAGAGCTGTCAGCTGTTATTATTCACCCTCTGAGTTTAAGTGTGGGAAAGAGAAAAGAAGTTTGTCTTTTACTGGTTTGATTTGATGGAATCTGAAGCTGAGAATTTTTGTAATTTCTCAAGACACAAAGACTTCCTCAACTGTCGAGACAAAGACGATGTGCTTTCAGAATGTATAAGAGCACACAGACAGTGTTGGGAGGGTTACTTTTAAAATGTAATCCCCTACAGATTACAGATTACATACACCAAAATGTGGTTTGTAACGTAATCCATTAAATTACTTAAAGTGAGTAACTTAATCTGAATACTTTAGATTACTTGATTTGCTGTAGAGAAGCAAAGATGAGGATGTTCACATAAGATGTTTTATGTGCTAAATGAAAATAAAAAATCCAGACTTTACTTAACCGTATTAAAAGTATTATTGATAGAAGAGGAGGAGACATGGCCAATGCAGAATGATTTAGTCCTGTTAAATCCTGGTTTAGACCTGGTTTAGACCTGGTTTAGTTCTGTTAAATCCAGTTTTAAACCTGATTTAGTCCTGCTTTAGTCCTGCTTTAGTCCTGCTTTAGTCCTGCTTTAGTCCTGCTTTAGTCCTGGTTTAGTCCTGGTTTAGTGTCCGGCAATGAGTGGAATTACCGAGAAAAAAAAAAAAAAAAAAAAAAGGGATATAGCACAAAATGTGAAAACAGGAAAATACCGCAGTGTAATCCATTTATTTCAACCAAGTAACTGTAATCCAATTACCACTCATTAAAACAGTAACTGTAACTGAAAACAGTTACTCATAATTTGTACTCTAATTACGTAACTCCGGTACATGTAATCTGTTACTCCACAACACTGCACATAGACTAGTAAAACACCCACTGTGGAGCCTACCTGGACCACTGACCGTATCAAAATCGAGTTTGAAATTTTAGTATCAAGGCAACACTGGCGACAAAATGTAATTTATTCAGAAATAGCTTGCACTAAATGTATATAATTGTTTCTGTTGTTTTGGAAGAGTTAGTCAATGACGAATGGTCACGCAACAAACCTTATCTATCCCGGATACTTTTGTTTACTTTTTAAACTAGTCAGAAACAGTTTGAACTTTAAAAAAATAGGTCATCTCTTTGGAAACAGTGCCCTAAAGGAGCAGAGACAAATTTACAATGCAAACACAGCCAGGAGGAGTTCTTGTTTTTTGTGTGTTCAAGCACCAAACATTTGCTGTGTTACACATCAATGCCAGAATAAGCACGAACATTTCCCAGTTATGAAATATTTATGCACTACTTCAATTCTGAAAAGGGTTCAATCCATAATCTAGGTAAGAAAAAACAATCATTACAGGGAAGTTCATTTTGTATAATATAATTTCCTCTGGATCTTATGTAAATGAACTAAAAAATAAAATCAAATTACCTATTTGAGATTTCGTTATTTAATCACTTTTTTTATTTTGTACATTTATATTTTGTTACACTTTTTCGTGGAGGGATGTTAATGTTTTTTCTGGAATGTTATGGTATCAAACATTTCTGTCTTCATTGGAGACCAACCCAAACCAAGTTCTAGGTCAGATCTGTGGAGAGGCGACCCTGCACACAGTCAGAATACCTGTTTTTTTTAGGTATTTTTGAGCTATAAAACCACTTGAAATTGATTAAATGTAAGGTAGAGGTGTTTAATGTCTCTGTCCATCTCCATAGAAACAAGCAGGTGACAGAAACCTAACCAAGAAAATACATAGTGCACCTTTAGGTTGGTTTGTACTTCTATATCCTGTTTTATTATCAGTTGGTAGTTGGAGATTGGCAATACTGACTAATTGGACACAACCCCGAAGGGAAAAAGAACAACTGTATCAATTATAAACACATGTAGTGCCTTTTTATGCTTCTAAAATTCCCAGTTTGGCCATATTTTCAGTTTCAATTTGTCTTGCTGGTTGGTAATCATGACATCACACTAGGGAACTGCTGGGTTTCAGATGACAACACAACATTCTATAGGCCAATAATATTTCATACAGATGGGGAGGCAGGCAAAATGTATAATCTTAAAAATCTGATTTGTGTTGTAATACAGTGAGTTCTTGGGTCTAGTCACTCGTAGAAATTATTAGATCCAAAATGTATGACTTTACCTTTTGGATATTTCTTGGCAAAGAACAGTGTAATAGGAAAATCTGGAAAATCTGTCTCTTGCCCCGCATCAAAAACACATTTATTTTGTTAAAATCATGTTTAAAGTATCAGAAAAACTGTTTCTTTTTTGTAAATTGTATTGAATTCTCCCAGTGTGACATCATCAATATGGAACTCTTAAACAAACTCCCTAAAAAAACTCTACGTCCTGTAATTTTCAACATATTTTTCAACTTTTCTTCACAAATTGCCTCTTGATTTATCATTTACATTTACAACAGGTTTGATCCCACCAAATCAAACACTCTGATCCACCTTGTGATGTCATGTGGTAGTACAAAAAGTGCTCCATTGTGTTTTTAAACTCCATACACCTTCACTAGAATCATTTGGATGATTTCTGCCTTGGAGTTGCCCACTTCTACTGAACTAAAAAGGTAAAAGGTAATGCTTAATTTGAAATCGCTTCATGACATCACAAGGTGTAACATAGCATTTTGGGCTTTGGAGATATAGACTAAAAATGCAGGATTACTCAAACATGTGTGAATGAAACAAAACACAACTCCAGGTCTGTTTTGTCATACACACTTTAAGTATTATAAACATCAAAACAAAAAACTTGTCTCAGGCCAAACATCACTCGAGTCTTTCCCGATATTACATGAAATAATAACAGAACCAGAACCTCATTAAACACACAAGCAAAATTAAACAATTCTTAAACTTCCTATTACTTTCACTGGAACAAAAAAAAACTACTCAAACCTTATTTCCTGTTCCCAGTTATTAAAGGGCCCATATTACCCTACTTCCCGATCTCTGTTATAATGTTTCCTCATCACAAACAGACCTGGAGTTGTTTGGTTTCATTCATTCACGTTTCACACAAAGACTCTGCATATTTAGACTGTGTTTTTCTCTCACACTGTCTGTTTCAGCTTGTGATGTCATGTGGTAATACAAGAAGCGCTCCAATATATTTTAAACTCCATACACCTTCATTACAATTATTTTGAAAGAGAAAGGTACATAGGTGGATAATCTCTACTGAAGAAAATGTAAAAGGTAAATGCTGTTAACTTGAAAACTATTGCTTCATGAAATCATAAGGTGGAACGGAACATTTTGAGCTTTGGAAATGTAGACAGACTAATAATAAACTTGTATGAATGAAAAAAAACAGAACTCCAGGCATAAAGTAGGAAAAAAACTGAGGCACTCAAAAAGGCCTTCATCAGGCATGATGAAGGCCAAAGGACCGAAACGTATTGGCGTGATTTGAACTTTATCTGTTATCCTCAGTTTTTTTCCTACTTTGTATTTGAGACTAGTCCCTACACTGAAGAGCACCAAAAGGACAATTCAGCACATTTTCGTATATCCAAGCAGCACTCCTGCATCCCAAAGCTTTGCACAACTCCAGGTATGTTTACGAGGAGGTAACAATATTATAACAGGGCTAAAAGCTCAAAACACTTTAGTATAGGACCTTTAAGTTTGAAAAAATATGTAGTAACTAAACTAGGGTGACCAGAGTTTCCAAAAAAAGAAGAACTGGGACATCCCTGTTTTTTTTTTTTTTTTTTTTTGTAATAATAAAACTGTGAAATAAGTACGTAATTAAGGAAAATTGTTCTGCAAAGACCATTCATGACAAACATGTGAGTCTTTTATAGTCACATTTTCTTTGTGTTTTGGTCATTATCAAGCACTTAAACATATGACAATTATGTCTCTCTGTACTGTTAGGACAATATAGGGACACCTGCGACATTTAGTGTATAAAACTTGGACAAATCAATGGTTTTGGATAAATCTGCTGGGACAGGGGACACAGGCTCAAAACTGGGACTGTCCCGGAAAAATAGGGACATCTGGTCACCATAATCCAGCTTCTGGGCCACATACGACCCTTGGTTGACTCTCATGCATGGACTAAAGCTGAATTGCTGTTATTTTAGAGGTGTTTTTACTTTTTCATTGCTTAGTCATAATATAAAGTCTTACCAGTTAAAATGTCAAAAAATACTATTTACTGCTTTTTATAAAGAAATACAAATAATATTATGCAGAACTGAGTTAAGCATTTTGGCCCTTCATAAAATTTTGTTTCTCTTTTGGTCCCATGGAAAAAAATTTAAAATAATTGCCCACCCCTGGTCTAAACTAAACTCTTCCTTGTAGGGCTGGGTATCATTAAGAAGTTGCCGATATGATACATACCTCGATACACAGGCCACGATACGATACATACCTCGATACAGTGCACTTTCAATTTGATATGATATATTTAAAATCGATTCGATACGGTTCAATAAAAAATAAAGTCTAAATCATGGCTGTGATACTAAAGTCTTTGTTAAACCACTTCTTGTGCAAAGTTCATATGAAACACAAACATTTTAATCATCAAAACAGTGAAAATGTCAAATGTGTTGCATAAATGAGTTTCCTTTCACTCCACAAGCCACAAACCTGTAGCTCTGTAACAAAATAATTCAGTAAAACACACGTAAAAATACTCTTGGTGATATATCGATACAGTAGCCCACGCTATCGATACTGTATCATCACATTAAACGATACGATATATAGATTTTCCGATATTTTTGCACACCCCTACTTCCTTGACCCTTGTACCTGCAGAGGAATCCGAGCTGCAGCACATGGAGCAGGCAGGATAACTTGACTCTGTCCCCGAACATCAGCACGCTGCCCCCGGCCGGAGCGTCTCCCCCGGGCCCGCTGAACTCCCGGTCGTACTGGAACCAGAACCAGCTGAACATTTGGACCACCACGGAGGACAGCGCCATGAGTCCCACCAACACCGCGAACCACAGCACGTCCCCCCGGCAATAAAACTCCGTAGCCACCCAGATATCCGAGCCCCAATCCACCAGAAAGGTACACACTCCGATCACAGAGAAGGCCAAGTCCACCCACGAGTATTTGGCCAGGTTTGCACACTCCATGTTTGTTTACTCCCGTGATAAACGCGTTAGCCGCTAGCATCACAATCCCCGAACCTGTTGCTGTTAGCCATGTTAGCATCTAAGCACCGTTATTCCGCTTCTAATGCTAAATTCTCTCTTTTCAACCCATTTGAAGCTGGTGAAACTGTCTCAGATATAAAGAATGAACCCACCAGCCTGTGTTAAAACCGTTATTGTAAGCGTTGTTGTAACTTAGTGAGGAAACTTATTAAATTGTTCCTATAAAGCGGTCTGAAGTGTAGTGAGCGTAAGCGGCGGGGTGCGTTTGTGGTGTGATTCGAAATGAGGAGGGGTTTAACTCCGCCTCGAGCTGTGATTGAGTACTTGATTTGCTGTAGGATATCCAGATAAAAGTTATAAAACGTATAGTTAAAAAGCAGATTTTTAACTGAGTCCTTGAATCTAATCAATAACAGAAATGCGCAGGCTCATTATTTGGGTATTTACGTTTTGGATATTTCTTGGCGCAGCTATTAATGGGAAAACCTTCCTCTTGCCTTCCATGTGGGATTATGATAGTAACAATATAGTATCTGAAAGCCTATTACTTTCAAGGTTTTATCATACTTCTGTTGTTTTTTTTAGTTGAATTTGTAGCTTGGGTAGGGTGACCAGACGTTCCTATTTACCCAGGACAGTCCCAGTTTTGAGCCCTGTGTCCCCTGTCCGAGCAGATTTATCCAAAACCAGTGCTTTTCCCAGTTTTATACAAGAAATGTCCCAGGTGTCCCTATTTTTGTCCAATCTGATCCCTTATTTGTTTAGGTAAAACTGAGAAAAGCTGCTTGAAAATGACAAAAAACACAAAGAAAATGTGACTATAGTGACTCACATTACTGCCGAGTGCATAACTGTCTTCCCATGGATCTATTAAAATAACTACTGACTGAGTCTTCCTTAATTACTCACTTGTTTCACAATTTTGTTATTACCAACCAATCCAAAACAAGGATGTCCCAGTTCTTATTCTGAAAATTAGCTTGGGTTAATACCTGTTGAATATGACATGGAACTAATAGACTGGATTAAAAAGTCTATGAACTAAATGTAATGTTATCTGTGTAGTGTACATATGCAGTTGTATAGCAAATCCAGAACAATATCTCTATCTATTGCTTAGTATTTGTTTTATTTTATTTAGTAAGAAGTGTGTATTCTGAATCCCAGCCAATACATACAGACAAATATTAGGAACAAACCCATCACTGATAACCAAGTAGAGCCATTTATTGAACCAATGCGTATTACTTCTATGGGTTTACTACACAGCCTTGTAAACACACAGCTAAATACCACCACCTGCTGTTTAAATAAAGACTATACAGTAAGATCTTGGCTGAAATCTGAGTCGAACATTGAACTTTTGAAAATAGTTAGGTAAAAGATTGTCATTAATTAGGTACAAGCTCAACATTTAAATTGTGTTTTCCCTCTTAAAAAGCTGTTAGAAAGCTATTTAAAAACGCATTACCTGAATAGATGTGGTCACACAAAATAAAAAAACTATATACTTTTAGAATCTACTTATTGATTGTTTTGAAGTTAAAGCCACAGTAAACTAAAATAACAGCATGCTTTTAATATTGTAATGTACACAATTTATGATACACATAGGATTCCACACACACACCAGCACAGCCAGTCTTCTTTAAGTCTGTAGAAACTCAAACTTTATCTGTGGTCTATTGCAGGACGCAGCTCTTCTTGGATTTAGTCCCATCCGGATTATCCTTTGCCAAAGCGATTAATATGGCCTCAGTGAACACTTGATCCAAGCCCTCCTGAACAAAAAAGAAAAAAAGAGCGAGAAGTAGACAGGCTAACCACTCTGCCACAGTATCAGAGAGAACATGCACAACCAACCATTCAGAGAGATCTGGGGTCTAACCCACAACCTCCTTACTGAGAGGAGGAGACAGGATAACCACTCTGCCACAGTAACATCATCATTTAGGCTGTATTCTACCTGAGTTTTAGCAGAGCACTCCATATATTTCACTTTGAGGTCTCTAGCCAGTTTTTCCCCATCTTCTTGCTGTAGGGGGCGCTGCTTATTCTTGGCCAGTTTCTTCAGAACACTGTGGTCGTTTCTGAGATGTGTTTGTGTGCCCACGAGCAAGTACGGGGTGTTGGGGCAATGCTGGGTGATCTCAGGCACCCACTGGAGAAGAGAGAAAGGAAACATATGTCTAATGTAGTGCCCTCATCACAAACGTCCCTGGAGTCACACATGTTTCAGTAATCCTGCAGATTTAGTCTGTCTCTCTCTCTCCAGAGCTAAAATGACTAAATACAGAAACTTCCCTTAGAGGCTGCTGTGATGCTGCAAGACACAGAAGAATCTCACTTTTGGCTTTTCCTCTCCTTAAACTGCCCTGACACAGATGATGACACGGATGATCTGAACATGTTATGTGTTAGCACATTTATGTGTTACCACAAAGAAGTGCTAACACTCCCTCTTGAAGTGTTTCTGACCTTCTCTTTGACGTTCTCGTAGGAGGAGGGAGACACCACAGAGAAACAGACGAGGAACACATCAGTATCAGGATAAATGAGAGGACGCAGGCGGTCATAGTCTTCATGAACTGCACAAAAGGAGGTTTGTTTGCAGATGAATGTTTATGTCAAAGGTATGTATATGGCGAGTGTATGTATGTATATGGTGAGTGTATGTATGTATATGGTGAGTGTATGTATGTATATGGTGAGTGTTTGTATGTATATGGCGAGTGTATGTATGTATATGGTGAGTGTATGTATGTATATGGTGAGTGTTTGTATGTATGTATGTATGTATTGTAACAATCAGTATTACATTTATATTATTATTGATACTGTAATACTTGATTGCGCCATCAGGTGGCGCCCCTTTTATTTTTTATTATACTGTAAGGTCACAGGTCACAGGTCACTCGCTTGTTGCAGTGCTGTGTAATGTAATGGACACACACCTCTGTGCTCTACAACTCAAGTAATGTGCGGTACCAGTGTTAAACGGACTATTTCCTATTTCATGTATGATTCAGACTTAGCGCCGTGGACACCTGGCATAGTATGGTTTCTAAATGTGTAATAAACCAAGTATCAGTGGAAATCAGTAAGTCTCGCTCTGCTCTCAGCTATCCCAGAGCACATGTTAAGGGCTATAGCTAGCGCTCTCTGTCGGATCACTACCACACGTTACAGTATGTATGTATATGGTGAGTGTATGTATATGGTGGAATATTCAGCAGTTACCATGGTGACACAGCGCATACATGAGCAAAGAATGCAAAATAATTTATAAAATAGTCTGAAAATCAAGAAAAAATACAAAATAGATTTAAACAACCCATTTTCAGGAGCCTGTGTTCATGTTCGTGTTTAGGTTTGATCTGGAGCTTGTGGATGTAATGTTATTTGAGAGGAACTTGTTTAACAGCATAAATCAGCTCTCCTGTTATAGCTCCAGCTAAGTCCCTTCTTTGTGCTAAAACAAAGTTCAGATTAAAGTCTAACTTGAGTAACAGAGCTTCAGAGACCTAGAACCTTTTAGCATCACACCCCCAGAGAATGTTAATGACATCCGCTGCAAAGTGTAAATAGAATGTGTAGGTCTAGGCATTGTATAAAATACCTGCCCAAACTACTAAAGGATTTTTTTTTTCTAGTTGGTGGCATTTTTAATACATATTTACAATCTTTTACTCCAGCTGGAGTATTTCCTGACTGTTTTAAAACAGTGAATATCTAACTCCTCCTCTAAACTGTGCTTTTTATCTAAAGTTCAAGTGAAAGTTTAAGTCTGGTTTTAAAGTGAACCATAGCACAGATACTGTCCTTGTTAAAGTCACAAATGATTTACTGATGTCAGCTGATTCTGCTAAACCGCTCTGTTTGAATTGTTCTTGATCTTAGTGCAGTTTTTGGTATTTGAAATTTGGTGTCTCGGTTATCATGGTGAAAATAATGTTGTGATTGTATGTGAACCACTATCGAACCTGTTCAAAAATAAAGATGATGATTATTATTATAGGAAAAGTAGGATGTTTTGGTTTTTTTTGTATCTCCTCCTACGTACAGAATGTTCAGTGTCCTTTATGCGAAGTGTGACAGATTTTAGTGGTAGATTCTAATTTAAACTAGAGGAGAAAAGCTATTTGATAAGGTATAAGCTATTTTTCCCAAATCATTCACCTCTGACCTGCAGTGTCGAACAGTCCCAGAGTGTATGGCTCTCCTCCGATCATCCTAGTCACAGCGTAGTTATCAACAATCTGACAGAGACACACACAAGTCTGACATTTTAGTCATAATATAAATGGTTCAGTAGTACTGGTTTACTCCTGGTTTAGTCCTGGTTGATGAATAATTTGATGTAAAAGAGGCGTCTTACTGTGGGGACATATTCTTCTGTATAGTGTCCTGTGATGCAAGTAATCAGCATCTCTGTTTTGTTAGCTTCACTATCACCCACCGCCACACACTTCACTGTCTGCATCTGTGGAGACAAGAATACTACTGTTACTACAAGGACTGCTGCTGCTACTACTACTACTACTGCCAGGGTTCCCACTTTTTCACTGACTAAAGTTTCAAAACTACTCCTACATGTGTAGAATTGATCAGACTTTTAGGTCTAAATATGAAATGTTAACTCTTTCCACTCACCTTATGGTTTGGGATTATAGTTTTTAACATTCATAATACTGTCAGTGCATTTATTGTCGTCTCTTTTAAATAAAAGGCGCATGTTTAGAAATGATCATAATAGCCTCATGAGAACTTAACACAACGCTCTAGTTGCGTGAAAGAGATACTAAAATTCCATGACTTTTCCAGGATTTTCATGACGATGGGAACCCTGTACTGCTGTTACTACTACCACTGGGCTATTGATGATACTACTACAACAACTACTACTACTACTGCTGCTGCTACTACATTACCTTGTCTGGTGCAGCCACGTAAACCACGTTGACTTCTTCTGGTGTCCCTGCTCCTGTCACTGCAGTTATTGAGTTACTTTTATTCCTGACTTAGTTCTGGTGGTTTAGTCCTTGTATACAGTCCTCATTTGATCCTTTTGTAGTTTTTTTTCTTTTTTGGTTTGGGTTTCCTCTATGACTATTGCTGTGAATGTATCTAATAGGCAAGAGATTAAAGTCCAACATGTTTTTATTGTTTTACAGCAGCAGGTTGGGCTTAACTGGGAGGTTGGTGGTTAAGGACAGTGCTGTGATGCTGCAGGACACAGAGGAGGGACTCTTCCTCTCCTTGAGCGAGAAGAGTGTGCTTACTTAAACTAAAGTGGAGATGTGCCGGATGCTAAAGTGGAGATGTACCAGGATGCTGTTATAGCACGAGGAAGTCCTGCCTCCCATACGTGAGATACTGAAACAATTGTTGAAATAGGATTTATATCCTTATAGCGTCGTACATGGGCCTATTGAGATGTGCAGACTCTATTAGGCATTATCCTCTGAAACTTTGCCCACTTGTAGTTGATCTCTGCATTCACAGTTTTAAAGGCAGTTCTTTCAAGTGAAAATATCAACACACTAAAGTAAATAATACAAAAATCAATGAATAAAAAGAAAAATGCAACTTTCTTGAAAATAAATATTAAGATTTTATTAATACACCCACAATTTCCACATGTGTAGAGTTACATTCACTCACTAGTTAAAGTGAGTATGACAGGTTTGACTGCTCATTTCACTAAAACATCAGTTAACATCAGTATAATTAACGTTTTACTAAAAAATCTGATCTATATGTGTCTATTTTTTCTTGTAAAGTTAAAAATTTTATTCCCTGGTTGGACACAGGCCGCAGATCTGACCTAGGTAGAGGTAATTCCATAACTAATACCAAGAGCAACCAAAAAAGGGCCAACACTCGTCTAAATTACACAATAGTTTTTATTAAAGAAATCAAAATAAATGACAACACCTTTATTTACTTAAATGAAGGTGTCAGAAAAGCCCTTCTTTGTGCACTAATTGTCTTGTGTTGGTGACATAGGCAGAGCGATTCTGTTTTACAACTTCCTGTATTTTTTTATTTATTTTTTTGTACTGCCTCTTCACTGATGTAAAACTATGATAAATAATTAACACAGAAAGGTACTATCCACCTAATCAAGTCAGATTAGAAAAACGTGAAAACCTGTCACACACACACCAGGAGCACGTAAGAATAATTCAAATTATTAGCGCGTTAGCTGGTGAATTAAAAGTAACACATTATGAGTGTAACATTGGCTCAAACAGGTGTTATTGCACAGTAACAAAATACATTATTCACATGTTAGTCTTAATAAAACTCTGTATAACTTAATATATGCCAGACACAGAGGCACAGATATTAACATTAGGTATTTCCAGTGTATCATGTTAAAACAAGGTAATAAAGCAATTACCCGGAATATTCTGGTAACCATGGGGATTGCATTGTGGGCCTGCAAGTGTAGTGTGGTTTTGATTTTGTTCTGGTACGGGTGTAAATCCAGTCAGGTCTTGGTTTAGTCCTGGTGTAGTCCTGGTTTAGACCTGGTTTAGTCCTGGTTTAGTCCTGGTTTAGTTCTGGTCTAGTCCTGATGTAGTCCCAGTTTAGTTCTACAGTATTTCACAGCGTTGTTTGGACCTTGTTTCTGGAGGTTCCAGAGCAGCGAGGATGGCTTCGTCGAACACGTTTTTCAGGCCTCTCTGTGAAGACAACATCAGCTCATGAATCACACAAACACTTCTGCTCAGGTCAAATACCGGCTAAGGAAAAGTACCAAGATTGGCGAGATACTACAACGAGTCTCTGTATTTTGTATTTCATCAAACTATGGTGACTGTAAAGAACTTCGTTAGCATCAACTGTGTAGCCTCAAGCTGCGTTCAGACCGCGGCGTCCAAAAATTGGCTGGACGCCTTTAGATGGACGCCTTTGCATTTGAGATCAGACACACCTGATGTGCATCTTGAACACCGTGGACGAATGGGAGAAAATGACTTGACGCACGTCTAAGGCATCCGCTGTGGTCTGTGAGTGCCTTGTTTTCACGGTTGAGAGAGTGACTTTAGTGCATTTATTAAAACCCATCAGCGGAGGTAATCGGCTCGGTGGCTGCAGCATACATATATATTTACACTCTGTTAAAGACGCGGCATAGATTTCTTGTTCTGGTGTTTGTGGCTCCCGGGTAGGGCTGGGTGATATGGAGCAAAAAATATATCTCGATATATTTTGCTATATCTCAATATACGATATATATCTCAATATCTGTATGGGAAAAATAACCCCCCAAAACTACTGCAAAAACAAATCTGACAAATTCCACAAGGTCTTTTTTAATTGAAGTGCAAAAAGTTCGACAGTTCATATAGGAACAAAGAGCTTCTGCCACATTTAAGATGATAACAATCCCATATTACATAAATAATAATTTTACTGTAAAATAAAATAAATAATATATGTTGCCTTCTTTTCATTCATAAATAAAACAACACAAGTTACACATTATGAATTAAAATATTCTACATAAATAAACTTTACATTATTAAACTTTATAACATATAAACCATAATGACTCTAGAGCCACATAAGCCCATGTGAGATTATAATGTGTTTAATGCAGTTTTGCGCACGTGAGTTTATGTTTTACAGAAACGAAACTTGAAAGCGCATGGCTCATTTGCATAAACAGTCCACTACTGCCACTATTGCGGTTCAGCTTCTTTCGGACTAAAGGACACGACTTGATGGAATATGAGGATGTGCTGCTGATGGTTTTGTCTGTAAATGGTGGAAAAGGTTCGTGGTGCTAGAAGTTTTTCTCTGACACCAACTTTGGGCATTCACAGCGGTAGTGAGGAGTGAATGAAACACAAGCAGCAAAGTCAGGGAGGTGGGGGCACAGAGAAGGCAAAAACCAGAATTGAATATAAACATTATATCGATATATACGATATGTCAGAATCCATATCAAGTTTTAAAAATATCTCAATATATTTAAAATATCGAGATAACGCCCACCCCTACTCCCGGGTCTTTTTCTTTCTTCTCCTTCTTCTGGGTAATAACATCGCTACTTCACTGGATAGTCCCTGATTGGCTGACGCGGTGCATTCTATGCCATAAGTTCAGCTTTTTCAACTTCTGGACGCGTTTCCTGTGCATTGGCGTCAGAACGCTCAACATGCAACACGTCAGCGCCAGGTTCTCGCCGCTCTGACGCCTGAAGATGCCCTAGACGCGCGTCCGTATAGACTCTGCATGGAAACTAGATGTCTTGACGCCGCGGTCTGAACGCAGCTTTACCTGAGTGAGAGCAGAGCACTCCACATATTTCACAGCCTTGAGATCTCGGGCCAGTTTCTCTCCGTGTTCAGGCATTAGGGGGCGCTGCTTGTTCTTGGTCAGTTTCTCCAGAACGCTGTGGTCGTCTCTGAGGTCTATCTGTGTGCCCACGAGCAAGAATGGGGTGTGGACGCAATGGTGGTTAATCTCCGGAACCCACTGGAGAGAGAAGAGAATCAACCAAGATATATAGAGCAGAGGAGAGGGTCAGAAGAGAAGAGGGTCAGAGGACGAGAGGAGAGGGTAAAGAGGTGCAGAGGACGAGAGGAGAGGGTAAAGAGGTGCAGAGGACGAGAGGAGAGGGTAAAGAGGTGCAGAGGACGAGAGGAGAGGGTAAAGAGGTGCAGAGGACGAGAGGAGAGGGTAAAGAGGTGCAGAGGACGAGAGGAGAGGGTAACGAAGTGCAGAGGACGAGAGGAGAGGGTCGGAGGCAAAGAGGAGAGGGTGAGATGGAGCAGAGGAGAGGGTCAGAGGCGAACAGGAGAGGGTCAGAAGAGAAGAGGAGAGGGTCAGAAGACAAGGAGCGGGTCAGAGGAGAAGAGGGTCAGAGGATGAGAGGAGAGGGTTAAGAGGAGCAGAGGACAAGAAGAGAGGGTAAAGAGGAGCAGAGGACGAGAAGAGAGGGTAAAGAGGAGCAGAGGACGAGAAGAGAGAGTAAAGAGGAGCAGAGGACGAGAGGAGAGGGTCAGAGTAATAGCAGAGAGGGTCAGAGGAGCAGAGGCTGACCTTCTCTTTGACGTTCTCGTAGGAAGAAGGGGACACTACAGAGTAGCAGACAAGGAACACATCAGTCTGAGGGTAACTGAGAGGACGCAGGCGGTCATAGTCCTCCTGACCTGCACACACATTAAAACTCCTATGGTTAATTTACTGTAGTGTTGTCACGATATAACATTTTAAACTTGATTTGGATATTCAGTACTGATTCTTTCTTTAGACAATAGAATGTGATTTTCAGTCATGATTCATTATTATATTTAATTTATCAAATTTGGTATCAAACATTTAAGTAACATCATGTTAACTTTATGAAAGTGTCACGTCACTGTGGAGGATAGAAGCTAACGGAACAACATTTCCATGGTAACAAGCAAGAGGAGTCACGTTTATGGAGATGCAAACCCACTTACAGTAACGACCATAGATTGTATAAAGGGGCCCGGTCAAGCAGAAGTAAACAGCAAGGCCAAAAATTCAAGTTAATGCATCTGATATAAAAATGTATTGAACAGATACATATGTACTCTAGTTTATGAAACTGTTTAACTTTTTTCTGTACCATTTTTGGTTCTAAAGTTCCATACGTTTTAAACAGACCATGTATGAAACATGGAACAAAAATTATTTCCCAAATTTCAAAGACCTGCAAATCATGTCAATAAATGGATGTATTTCATCATATCTTGTGTTATTCCATCTTTGAACTGTTGATGAAGGGACAATATTTTTCAAAAAAACAAATTTAAATGATAAAAATTTGCTTGGAAGGACTGACATATTTTATAGAAATAGTTTCCTTTCATTTTGAAGTAATATTAAAGTATTCAGAAGAAAAAAGCCACAAATGATGTAAAATCCTGCACCTTCTACTTGTTTGCACAATTTTCCCTCCGTTACTTTTCCCTCCGTTACCATGACCTTTCTTAATAAAAAAATCTCATGAGTCAAAAAGTAAGAGGTTTTTCAACCTAATCTTGTACCATATGATAGAAAACTATATGAAGCAAATATTCAAACCAGTTTGTTAAGGATATGGAAGTGAGAACCACTAGTTATCACTCTTTGTATTTATTGCCCAAAAAGTGCTGCATATTTCATTCCCTCCGTTACCGACATGAGTTTTTAAAATTTTTTGTCAACAACTTGAAAGAATATCACAGGTTTAACTTGACCCTGTTGGAGTGTAACTCTTTCCTACATTCTGATACTTTACTTATTTCAATAGTCCCTCTAGTTTCTGAATAAGAGACATTTGAATGTAAAAAAATCTGCCTGTTTCCCTCCGTTACCGCTTGACCGGACCCAAAGGTGTGGACTAAAGTGTGACGTCACCCACAGGATTTTTTAAACAAACAAAATAGCAGGAAAAAAACCCAAAACACCAGGATCACATAGTGGGTTAATACAAACATTTTAAGACCAAAATGATGAGGCTCACAGCAGCAGTTACAGAGAGAGGAACCACAATATTCCAGTGTAAGTCAACTGGAGCCAAGAGCCCACATGACAACTTCCTATTTGGAACGTGACAGCTACAATTGGATATGTCCAATTATATGTACAGTCTATGGTAAAGATGCAAGTTTTTCTTTGTTTTTCAGTGGAATAAAAAAACAAAAAAAAACTCTAAGCTTTCATTTTTGTCTGTTTATGGGTAAAATGTTGCATACTATGGCTTGAATATCAAAAGCAAGTGTTGAAATGTTAGTGTCATGACTCTAAACACAAAAATGAACACTGAACCTGCAGTGTCGAACAGTCCCAGAGTGTAGGGCTCTCCTCCGATCATCACAGTCACAGCATAGTTATCAAACACCTGGAACACAAATACAATAGTTTTAAAAAAGGAAGTGGGCCTTAGTGTTCCATGTCAGTCAAAGCTCTGTAACGCCTGTGTGCTGTATTTTCCACTGATGCCATGAAAGTAAAAGAAATTGGATGTGTTTTTGTTATAATTTTTTGACAGAATTCATTATCTTGTCAAAAAGTCAATTTTTTTAGACTTGGCAGCTCAGGTGAAAAGGAAAACATTTTTTAAAAGGGGGTTGCCATAGTTCAAATAGAAAATGAAGTCCCACCCTCGGACAAAATACCGAGTTGCAGGGAGTCGCTTCTTAAAAAGTGAAACTGGCCAGATCAGATAAGATCAGAATCTCCTGCACACGCTCACATAAATCTAGTCTGCACAACTAAAACAACTCCGTCTACTTTCACTCTCCTCAGAACTCATCAGCTTATTATTATCATGATGAGAACTGGGCACGGCTCGCAGACTACCTCTGTGTGATCCAAACAGCGTTACAGGAAGGAACCAAAAAAGGGGAAATGATTTGGTTTAAAATACAGTATCTCTTTTTTACCTGTATGGATGGGACTGGAAGGATCGCCCTGGACTAGACCAAGACTAAACCAGGACTTGACCAGGACTAAACCAGGAATAAACTAACACTTAACCAGGACTAAACCGGGACTACACCAGGACCACACCAGTACACATGTGAACACAGAAGTGCAGTATTCCACGTGTTAGCTTTGTAAAGTATTAGTATTCCATGTATGTGTAGTTCATACTCACTGTGGGGACGTACTCAGACGGGAACTTGTTGGTCGTGTACGAAATCAACAAACATGTTTTACCCACGGCTCCATCTCCAACCACCACACACTTTATGGTCTGCATCTGTGAAATATACACAACAAGTACTACTACTACTACTACTACTACTACTCTCTCTTCAACCACCACACACTACTGCATAAGAGTAAGTCTTTATTTATATAGCGCTTTTCACAGACATTTTTTGTCCCCAAAGACATTTTACAGAGCATTATTCAGTATTATTCATTCACTCTATACCTGGTGATGGTAAACTACTGTTGTAGCCACACCTGCCCTGGGGCAGACTGACAGAGGCACGGCTGCCATGCCAATCAGCACCAACAGTCCCTCCAACCACCACCATCACTCACTCACACACATAACACTTTCATACTAGACTATGTGAGTGAAGTGTCTTGCCTAAGGACACAATGATTGAATTGACTGTATTTAACTGACCTTGACTATCAACTGTTCTGGACCTGGAGCATGTTTTGGGTTGATGGGGGAAACCAGAGCACCCGGATGAAACTCATCCAGACACGGGGAGAAACATGCAAACTCCACACAGAAAGACCCAGGCGACCCGGGGATCAAACCCAGAACCTTCTTGCTGTGAGGCATGAGTGCTAGCCACATATGGTCTGCATGGTCTGAACTAGAGCCTGACCAATATGGATTTTGTTGTGGCCGATATGACACTGATAAAATGGGAGTTGGAGCTACCGATCGCCGATATGATCGCTGATATGTTTAGTGATGTAAAAATTCACTGTAAATCTTGAATTGTTTAAAAAACTTAGGTTTGGCTCTAGTGGATGTTAAATTGGATTTATTTAGGCAACATTTATTGTTATTCTGACTCTTTGTGTCATATTTACAGACAGCAGGTCAGACTAGTGGCATTTTTGCATCACATTCTAGCTACTAGTGATGGGTATTCCAGTTCTTTTTAGAGAACCGGCTCTTTTGGCTCACTAAAAGCAGCTGGCTCTTTCAGCTCCCAAGCGGCTCTTCAGATTGTTTTGTTGCAAGCAGGACTAAACCAGAACTGAACCAGGTCTAAATCAGGACTGAAAAATGACTAAACCAGGACTAAAACAGATCTAAACCATGTGTAAAACAGGACTAAACCAAAACTGAACCAGGACTGAGTGTCAGGACTCGGTCTCTGTCTCTCTCCCTCTCTCAAGCCCAAGATTAGTCCTGGTTTATTTATTTTATGCTGAACTACAGCCAAATATGCACTTTTTTTTGGTGCTGGTCTGCTGCTGGTCTGGTCTGATATGCTCTGGTCTGGTCTGGTTTGCTCTGGTCTGGTGTGGCTCTGGTCTGGTCTGCTGCTGGTCTGGTTTGCTCTGGTCTGGTCTGCTGGTCTGGTTTGCTCTGGTCTGGTGCTGGTCTGGTTTGCTCTGGTCTGCTGCTGGTCTGGTTTGCTCTGGTCTGGTCTGGCTCTGGTCTGGTCTAGTGCTGGTCTGCTGGAGCATAAACAGCTCTTTTACAGAACACAAACTCAGAGCTGCAGACTCCACATTCCACTCATTTAGAGATACAATAGTCCGAGTGAAGACGCTTCCACAAACTGATGATTGTGCTCAGGTTTAACCAAACACTGGACCCAAACAACGTGTGTAAGAGGCAAAGCTGCACTCCACATTTGGATCCAGCTGTCAGCAGTCACGATGTATTAGGCCTATAGGCTATTTACATTTTATTCACTATAATAAGGTAACTAGGCCTAACCTGACTCAAGTACACACTTTCAATTAGCAAAACAGCCAACGTGACAATCAGAAGACCTATAATGTAGCTTGGAGTTATACATATAATCTAATTGAGTTTGACATGTCTGCTCTAAAACATATTCAACATGATTAGATTTAAAATTTAACAAAAAATCTTGCCTAGTTATTTCTAGTTTTGTAGTTTTTGCCAAGACAGCAGATGTGACATACGTAAAGGTTTGTTACCGAGCAACCATAATGTTAACAAGGGCCAAAATAAATTACACAATAGTTATGATTTAACAGATGAAAAGTAATGGCAACAACTTAAATTAATTAAATTAATGTTTAAGCTGTCAGAAAAATGCCACTTGTGCGTGAACTGTCTATGCGTTTTGCTGACAGTTTTTTTTTAATTTTAGTTCATTTTTCTCTATCAAATAACATAATCATTCATCATATTATTACAATGATTTAACACAGAAATGATGCATATCACTAAAGTTATTCTACAGACCAAAGGGGTTTAGGCTGAAGTTTTAACACTTATTTTGCCTAACCTTGTTAACAAATAGAACAGGATACAAGACGTCAGAACTATTTACAGAAAACAACACAAAATTAATCTTTTATGAGAGCAGGAAAGAATATCTACTCTCTTTTGGTATACACACATACACACTACCTACACACAAACCAATACATGTAGATGATCATACACACACACACACACACACAAACACACACACACACTAGGGATGTAACAATAACTGAAATATTGTGATATCGAATCGTCAAAAGTCTCACAGTAATATCGAGAGCTGTCACAATATACTGAATTACAAGTTCCTTTGGTTAAATGCATTGTTTTATAGTAGCAACAGCTAAAAAAAACATTGGGAACTACATATCCCATGATTCATTTCACTGCAGACAACATGAAGAAATGTTTTTACTTTAATGCTTAGGATTATAACGATAATGATTCACACCTAAATCTTGTCAACGTATTTTAAATGCAAAAAGTATCCAGTCTACAATTATATTAACCACTCCAAAATACCACAATAAATATTGTACTGTGAAATGAATATCATGATAATATCACACCGTGAGATTTGGATATCGTCACATCCCTAACACACACACACTGGCCCATGTACACGAGAGTGCATCATTTGCCCCAGTGTCAGAAATTCAACTTGTACCCAATTTTAAAATGTGACAATATCAATAAAAAAAAAAAAAAGCAGAATATTTGCTCAATTGAATAAAATCTACTGGGTTCACCAAGACTCTTAAGTTCTATCCTAAAGGAGTCCATAAAGCTCTGGCACAAAAATCTGTTTTTCTCAAATAACTTTAAAAATAATCCATTAGGGTCATGGTGTCAGTGAAAGTTGAATATAAATGTTGCTGTTGCACATCTTTTAGTACCAATTTTATATTGCTGTCTTCATAACTTTCTTAGATATGACAATTTTATGAAGATTTTGAGTGTTTTTTCATAATTATCCAAAATCCACAAAGTCCAAAGATGAAATGAGAGACATAAAGTTTGTTCTTTCTGTAGTGATCATAAACTGTATAAAAAAAGTGGAATAAGTGAGTGTGACGTCACCAGAGCGTCTCAATGACAGGTACGACTCAGGGTTTGTGAACCCAAGTTTCCAGAAAGAGTAAGGATGTTATTAAAGAAAAACTGATGTTTCAGCTCAGATTTAAGGCTTCTGCAGGCACTGAACTTCAGAGACTTGGTGGACCCAGTAAACATCAAGAGAATTTCATGAAATTTCTCACAGAAGTTTACTTTGGAAAGTGTAAAAAATTAATACTAGGTACAGATTGATTTTCAAAAAAATTTCAAAAAGTTGGGCAAATGATGCACCCTAATGCACACGTTAGTATTCACCTACCAGCTGATAACATAGAAAGAGGGATTCTGTTTTTAGTTACTTGCGGTATTTTACCACTTTTTATTTTCTATTTTTCTTCATAAACTGACACTTAACTCCTGTAAAACTATGATAAATACTGACTACAGGTACTACCCCACCAAACCAAGTCAGGATGAGAAAAAATTATATTAACCTGTCAAAATGCGTGTAATTTTTGAGTCTGTGTCTTTACTTGACTAAAAGTTTCCTGAAATGTCTTTTGAATTCCACAGATTGCTGCTTGTAAGTGAAGCAGTCTACGGCCAAAGTAAACCGGTCAAAACGTCGCTCTCACGCGCGCCCATTTACTGCGAGTCGAGCTTTAAAATAATCCGTAGAATTAACTAACCTAACTAACAGAGCAAATGGTAGAGCTATAGGTTTTTTTCTCACTATAATTTCCTAAACTAGTTTAAAAAGAAAAAAGCAGCAGCGGTGACAGCTCTTACCTCGTCCTGCCTCAGTCGCTCTGAGCTCGGCCGGTGCGCTGCTCCGTCCCGCCCCTCCTCACCGCGCTTTTACGCACGCACCGAGGAATCAGGAAGTCACCAACCAATCATTATTATTATTTTCTTTATTTATTTACTTTTTTATTTTTATTCAGCATATTCAGATACAAGACAATGCAAGAACGGAGACAACCAGGCAGGTCAAAATCACACAGACAACACATACGACACATGGGAAGAGAAAAACTGAAATACACTTAACAAAATAAAATAAAAGGGGAGCGTGATACTGTTACATTATAGATATTTTCTATAAATATTGTACGTTTTAAAAACTTTTTTGTTTTTGATCTGTTTTATTGTCTGGAAATATATATTTTTTTTTTTTGTTTTGTTTTTTATAGTGGTTGTGTTTCGTTATTTGGTTTATTTTGAGTCCATTTTGTTTCGTGTATATGCTTTTTGGCAGCTTGATCAGAATCTAAATGAGGAAACAGATCTTTGGGGACCAATCATTATTCGAGACCTCTTGCATTATTCTGCTGCTGTAATTTGTGAATTTTAAACTTAAAACAAACAACTCTGTCATGTTTTGTAACTAAGCGTTTTACTGCGAAGACCTACGATATATTTATTTATTTATTTATTAGATGTGTAATAGAATGTTTTCTGATAGCTTAGTATTTCTGTGAATTTTCAACGTTAATAATTACTCAAATAAATATGTATAGTTTTTTTTTTTAAAGTATAATTGTGAGCGTGATTCTGATTCTGGATGCAATACAAACGTTAGACACTAGATGTCGCCAAAATACTGCCTAAGTCATCCTTTATCTTCTACATTTAAATCTGCTGCACTTTAGATTCAAGAAAACTATTGACCTCTACAGCTGAACCATTTGGGAGAAATACTAAATAACTATTGCAATTAGATTGGAATTTGTGATTTATGTTTTAACACTAGGATTCTATTCAAAGTTCACATTTTAAACATATCCAGGAGAAATGACACTGAGACTGAAATCTGATCTGACAAAGGAATACAAGAATCACATTTCATATCCTGTGTGTACAGATATAAACCACAGAGTCAGCACTTTTTATGCAGTATAAGAAGTTAAATTATTGTACTTCAAAAAATTGCGTCCATTCAAATTATGTTTTTGATTCGATCACAGTTAATCTTGCTGCTCTACTGACAGATTTTTTTTTAAGTGCAGTGCTATAGATAGAATGATATGATGTGTACTTTTCCATTCAGCCATACAATATTACATACAGAAACAGATCAAATTTCAACTCATATCTACTGAATTTAAGAGACGAATTCATGTTAAATCTAAATATCTTGCATTTCTTCTAGGTGCTGTGGCATTTTCATCTCCAAATCTCCAAAAAGTCAAATCCACAAATGTTTTTCCTGAACATTTGTGATCATTTGCTCCATTCTCCAAGCCTGATTCATCAGCCGGTTTCACTTTGTAGAAACTGTCTGACCTCAGCATCAGGATTTGTTCTTTCAACGGTTGGCAGGTACTTTTTTAATTTAACCAATCACTGCTGGTCATGACATATGTAATGCACCAAATCCCGTAATCCTGTAATAACAAAAGCCCTGTCATGGCTGCATAACACTGAGGGAAGTCCAAGATGCAATCAAAAAACTAAAATGTAACAAGCACCAGGAAATGATGGGTTATCTGGGGAATTTTATAAAACTTTTAGTGAAATTCTATCCCCCTTTCTCCTTGAAGTATTTACAGAAAACATTACTAAAGAAGAGTTTCCCCCAACATTAACCTAGGGATTAAACGACTCTTCTAAACCAAAAAAAGATTTACTCTTACTTGATAATTTACGTCCTGTATGTCTTCTGAACAATGATTATAAAATCCTAGCCACCATACTGACTAACAGAATTTAAAAAAGCATTATCATATGTGGTGGAGGAGTTTTAATCTGGTTTTATTAAAAAAAAAAAAAACATTACAATTACACATTACAAATAATATACAATTAGTTTATAATCTTATTGAATACTCAGAATTTATAGATGATGAAAGCAAAATTTTAGTTTTAGACTTTTACAATGTGTTTGACACGCTGGAACATCAGTTCATTTATCAATCACTACTCAAATTTGGCTTTGGGTGTTTTTTTTGTTTTTTTTTATGAAGGCAGTTCAGTTCAAACCCTGTACTGTAACTTCAACTCCTCCATCCGGGTTAAATACGACACCTCTCCTCACTTTAAAGTGCTGTGTGGAGTACGCCAAGGATGCCCCTAATCTGTGTATCTATTTTTGTTTGGAGCACAACTTTTAGCCTCCTTTATTTTAGAAAGTTCAGTCCAGAGTACAATGACATTACTTTACACCCACGCTCTGGGAGTATGGATAGGAAATATTTTCATTATGTGTAATAGACACTTTTCTGACAGCCTAATATTTCTGTGAATTTTCAACATTAATAATTACTAAAATAAATATATATAATTATATACACCTATTCCTTTTAGTCTTTTTATGCATTAAAAAAGTATGATTATGATTCTGGCTGCAGTACAAATCTTAGATACTAGATGCCGTCAAAATACTAAGTCATCTTTTATCCTCTACATTTAAATCTGCTGCACTTTAGTTTCAAGAAAACTATTGACCTCGACAGCTGAACCATTTTGAAGAAATATTAAAGAAGTACTGCAGTTAGATTAGATTAGATCTGTGATTTATGTTTTAACACTAGGATTCTGTTCAAAGTTCACGTTTGAAACATATCCAGGAGAATTGACAAAGAGACTGAAATCTGTGCTGACAAACGAAAACAAGAATCACATTTCAGATCCTGTTTGTACAGATCTAAACTACAGAGTCAGCACTTTTTATGCAGTATCAGAAGTAAAATGATTGTACTTGAAAAAATGCAGTCTTTGCAATTTGCTAATTGCGTCCATTCAAATTGTCAGTTTGATTAAAATTAATCTCTTAGCTCTACACAGCAAAAGGTGAACAGTTAAAACGGACTCTCACAGAATCAGTTCAAACATTTTCTCAGGGTTTATATGAGTCCACTCTGTTCTAGAGTTAATTTAACGTTTTTGGAAATGTTAATTAAGTAACACTGGACCAAAGTTCCTGTTTAACCCTAAATTAAGAGTTATATTAACATTTTGAGAGTAAACAGATAACACTTTGGAGGGTTATCCTGATTTTGCTAAACAGCACACAGAGATGTTTTATTTTTACACTTTATTTGAGTTAATTTAAATTGAAATTATGAACAAAACTGGTTCAAACTGGTCTTCTCGCGTTAGTTTGAAGTGGTGGGTGGGAGGAGCCAAATTAACACTAAGGAAAGTTGAATTAACAGTAAGGGAAGTTGAATTAGCTCTTAGTGAAGTTGAAATAACACTAAGTCAAGTTGAATTAACACAAAGTGAAGTTGAATTAACACTAAGGAAAGTTGAATTAACTTCAGCCATATCATTTCTGGCAAATAACCCCAACTCCAACCCCCATTTAACTTTCAAATGGTTAAAATAACACTTTTTGTGTTAAAAACAACTCTGAAATATTTTACCTTGAAATTTTAACCCTCCAGTTTTTGCTGGGCCGTGCAATGCCCAGGTCTGCACGAGGGCACACTGTATATCGATCGGAGGGCATCTGACTCAGGGATACAGGAGGATGGGAGGGCATCTGACACACACACACATGGAAGGACGGGAGGGCATCTGACACACACACACGGGAGGACGGGAGGGCATCTGACACACACATGGACGGAGGGCATCTGACACACACAGGAGGACGGGAGGGCATCTGACTCAGGGATACAGGAGGATGGGAGGGCATCTGACACAGGGACACAGGAGGACGGGAGGGCATCTGACACACACACACGGGAGGACGGGAGGGCATCTGACACACACATGAGGACGGGAGGGCATCTGAGACACACATGAGGACGGGAGGGCATCTGACACACACATGAGGACGGGAGGGCATCTGAGACACACATGAGGACGGGAGGGCATCTGACTCAGGGATAAAACTGCATATGCTCACGTCACTGTCTCTCTCTCTCTTATTCCTAATCTCATTAAAGTGAATGTAATTACAGATTATGAGGCGTTCGAGGTCCCGCGGAGCTCTGGAGCGCTCGGAAGTCCAGACGCTCCCGAACACATCACACACTCTGCGTCTGGGCCTGAAAAAATCCAATACAGTCAAGTCATTTCAACATAAAAGTGTAAGTATCATCCTTGTCAAGTGGTCTCAGAAATGTCATAAATCTGGGCCAATTCTCTCTCCTCTTTCCATCTCTCCTGCCACACACTCTTCATCCCTCTCTATTCCCTTCTTTCTCCTTTTTCTCTCCTCCTCCCCCTCTCTTTTTCTGTCTCTCCCACACTCAATCTCCTCCCTCTCTCAGTCTCTCTCTTGCGGGTCTTTTTCCTTTCTGTCCCCTCATCCCCCTCTCTCTTTCTCTCTCCTCCCTATTCTCCTTCTCTTTCCTCTCCCTCTCTTCCTCTTCTCTTTCCTCCTCCCTCTTCTCTCTCTCTTTCCTCCTCTCCTCCCTTCCCCCCTCTTCTCTCTTAACCGTCTCTTCCTTTTCCCCTCCCGCTCGTTCTCCTCCTCTCCTCCTCTCCTCCTCTCTTCCCTCCCTCCCTCTCTCCTCCTCTCCTCTGTCTGTATCTCTCCGTCTTCGCCCCAGATTCTTACGTAACATCAGGCACTTAAACTGAACCCCACTGCACCATCCGCTCCCTCCTCCCATCGCTCTCTTTCTTTTTTCCTCCTCCTCCCTCTCTCCTCCTTTGCACCCTCATCATCCCATCGCACTGTCTCCCTCCCTCGTTCATTCCTCCCTTCTTCTATATGAATTACTCTCTCTCTTTTTTCCTCCTACCTCTCTCCTTCCTTCCTTCCTTCCATCTTCACATTTTCTCTCATCTATCTATCTTGCCCCACCCTTCTCCTCTTCTCTCCCCCTCTCTCCTCTGCACCCTTTTCTTTCCTCCTTTACTCCGCACTCTCTCTTCTCTCCTTCCTCCTCCTTTCTCTTTTTCTCTCTCTCTATCACCAGCTCTCTCCCCCACCCTTCTACCCTTTTCTCTCCTCCTCCTCTGCACCTCATCCCTCTCTCTCTCCTCTTTCTCCACCCTTTCCTTTTTCCCCTCCCCCTCTTCTCTCTCTCTCTCTCTCTCATCATCACCGTAGCGCGATCTCTCATCTTTCTCTCCTTCCCTCTCTCTTTTCCTCTCTCTCCTCTGCACCCCATCATCACTCCAGCGCCATCTCTCTGTGTGAATTCCCTCTCTCCTCTCCTCCTCTTCCTCCTCCCTTCTCTGTTCTCTCTCTCTCTCTCCTCTGCACCCCATCATCACTATAGCACCATCTCTCTGTGTAAATTACCTCCCCTCCCCCTCTCCTCTCCTCTCCTCCTCCTCCGCTCTGTCGCTCCACTCCTCCGCTCGGCAGACAGGCACCGCAGCAGCAGCAGCAGCAGCAGCAGCAGCAGCAGCAGCAGCAGCAGGTATCGTCCCTTCTTTTGTCCTTTTTCCCCATCCTTCTCCTTATCGTTTTTTCTCCGTTATTGTTTCTCTCCGTGACCTTACGGTGTTTGCGCTGCTTCAAAATGGCTGCAGGAGGAGATGCATTTTCTCCATTTTAGCCCCGAGCTTCAATATTACACCACATCTCCGCGTATCGGCGCACAAACCCCTCACGTCTCTCGTCGTTTATCCATTATTTGTACGATTTAGAGACTTAAAATATCAAAAAAAGACGGCGTTTCTCTGTCAAAGCGTGCTCCCATTTCCAGCTAATTCACTGCACCAAATCGGCTGCAAATGTTGATGATTTCTGTGAGAATTTAGGTCAGATTTGAAGGTAAAAGTGTGCCATTTGGGTTCGGGGTTAAAGATACGTTGGGATGTTTGGGGAAGGGAGATGTGACTGGTGTTTTTTTTGGAGATTTAAAAATGGCTGACCCTGTGTGACTTTGCACAGATGAGGATGTAACTCCGCGCAGTCATTGGCTGCTTGTCAACACTAGCTCACTGAACGTTTCATTTGAATTTATGTATCTATATTTTCACATTTTAAGTCGTTATTTGAGTTGATGATATGCGTTTCTGCTTCCTGGAATTCGTTTGTCTCAGTTTCTTGTTCATAAGCGACATTTTGAGGACTTTTCACCATTCAAAATAGAGGATATTATGTTTTGAATTGTTAGTTACTATGGAAACTAGGGGCGTAATGGTACTCAGAAATCACGGCTCGGTACGTCCCTCGGTTTTGAGGTCACGGGTTGGTTCATTTTCGGTACAGAATCTGAACAAAATGCAGAACCATTTTGTTTTAACATGATACAAACGGGAAAATAAAATAAATACAAAGTGCTTAGTAATACTGATAAGTGAAATAAAATATTCTCAAATAAGCAACAAATGTATGAAATATTATTTAAAAAAAAAATAAATTCTTTGTAAACAGCAAACAAAACTTTTCACTAACAGTTCCAGCTTGAACTTTTACTCAATTTTTATATTTCTGGCCAGAAAAAGCAACTTGTCCACACTGTCCACTGCAGTAAGAGCAGATCTGTTGGCAGGGAAGGGGGCGAGGGTGGAGCTTCGGTGCCGGCGAAAGGTGAAAGTGAGGACTGCGGCACGATGACCGTAGTTTTGCAGGAGTCTCATGGTTTGGAGGGACGTAGTCAAGGCGGGGCTCAATTGTTGTGAAGACGACCGCCCTAACTATAAAGCAGGAAACACTACCGCAATCACGGACGTGTTCCTCATGATTATTAAAGAGCCGAGTCTCGTGTAGCTGCACATGTAGTGAACGTAAACACACGCAAATTGTGCCAACTCACTCGTGCACGGCCCTGTACCCCTGTATAAAACAGTTTGGCATGAATGCATGTATCGTCACACCCCTAATGGAAACTAGGGATGGGCATTCGATTAAATTTTCCTAATCGATTGTCGGAAGAATTAAGGATAGATTATCGATTAATCATTAATGTTTTTCATATTAAAATGTATCATCATTATTATTACTATCTGCACTACTAATCTGCATAAATTAATTCAACTTTATGACATATAAACAGTAACCACTCTAGAGCCACATCAGCCTGTTTGACATTATAATGTGTTTAATGCAGATTTGCGCAACTCTCACAGAAATGAAACTTAAACTGCATGGCTCATTTGCGTAAACTAAGAGAAGGAAAAAAAAAACAGCTCTTGTGCGCTGATGCAGTCAATTTCTGTTGGATTAAAGGACACGACTCAGTGGAATACAAGTTAGTGTGACCATATTTACGTTTGTCAAAACCAGGACACCGTACGGGGGGTGGGAGGTGGGGCCTCGTCATCAACATTGCGTTACTCTCACCTGGCAAAGCTTTTTCATGTTTTCGGTGTCCTGGTGAGCTTTTTCCCACTGGACACTGATACATATGTGCTGCTTTATACACTGTGCACATGGACTCACACTTATCCCGACCGGAACGGAAAGTGTACAAGTCATCGTTAAATATGCATTTGTGCTTCGGTACGTTGCAGACTGTTTGTGTCTCACTCCTTCTGAGTGCAGAGAGACACATGTACAGACCCCCGTTTGGTCACACTACACACAGCAACCTACATTCGGTTGAAATTCTTAATGATCAATTATCGATTAACCAACAAATCATGCCCATCCCTAATGGAAATGATGCTAAATTGTCATCATTCTGAGACTCACAGGAAGGCGACATTTTGAGAACTTTTCACCTCTCAGATGATAGGATATTATTATTATTTTTTAATTGTTAGTTACGATGGAAATGGGCACTAGAGCAAAGGCGACATTTTGAGGACTTTTCACCATTCAGAAGATATAATATTATGTTTGGAATTGTTAAATACTATGGAAACAGTGGTATATTTTCATCATTCTGACACTAATGCAAAGGTGACATTTTGACGACTTTTCACCTTTCAGAAGATAGGATATATTTTTTTAGTTGTTAGTTACTATAGTATTCTTTATTTTGAATCGTTACAATGGAAACAGGGATGGATTTTCATCGTTCAGAAACTAATGCGAAGGTGACATTTTGAGGACTTTTCACTGTTCAAAAGACAGGATGTTATATTTTGAATTGTTGATTACTTCCCAGAAAAAATATTCCAAATGTGCAATGAATTAAAATATTCCAAAGCCAATATTCCATGAGCTGCAATAAATAAACAGCAGAACGAAACACTACTTAGTTTGCATCTGTAAAGAGTCAATTCAACCTTTTACCAATTAAGTCTTAACATACAACCAAAAAATAACCAAACATTTTCCAGTGGTGCAAAGGGGCACTAAAGCAAAGTTGAGAGTTTGAGGACTTTTTGCCATTCAAAAGATATAATACAGGGTGTCCCAAAAAATTGGACTTTAAAAAGCAATTGTCTTGAAAACTACCAAGTCTAGCTCAGTGAAAGTGAAGAGTTTAGGTGTTGAACATCATAAGTTTATTATGGAAATTTGTTTTGCCAGTTGGTGAAGTTTTTTTTTCCCAAATGTTGGATTGAAGCTGCCCAGTCAGGGTGAGTCTGCGAGAAGATTCCAAAACGCAAAATGACTTCTCTTTAGGAGTGAAAACATGAAAACTGAACAAAAATAAAACATTCAGTATAAAATCTTGATCTGTTTCGATACATTCTGTGAAAGTTTGAGGTTCTTGAGGTATAATTTCCAAAATTGCTGGCCTGTGAAATGATATGAAATTGTTTGTGACACCCTGTACTTTGTTTAAATTTACAGCAAAGGAGAAATTCAATCCAAACTGCTTCTTCAGTTCAGTTCACATCACTTCAGTTTGTTTTAAAGGTTGTATGGAGGATTTTCTTTTAGTTTCAAATTGTCATTGAAAGTTTAAAATACCATTACCGAGACGCAGCAGCCTTGTAATTATGATGACTAAAAAAAAAAAAAAAAAAAGAAAATCTATCAACTGTGAACATAGTGAGGCCAGATAAACATTAGCCAATAGAAAACAAGGCTCCCTCTTTATCTATTGGCTGTTAGGTTGTCAATCAAACTCCCGACGTTTCTAGTGCAATTGAGTCGCCGACGTGCGGGGATTACGTGGTTTATGCAGCGGTTCTTAGACGCTTTTTCAAACTGTCACTTCCTCGTAATTCGCACAGAGTTTGTTGCACGAGAATCCATGACCAGTTTGCCGCAAAAGAAAGTCCATTT